CCCACGCACCCACGCACCCACGCACCCACGCACCCACGCACCCACGCACCCACGCACCCACGCACCCACGCCCGCACACGCCCGCACGCGCACACGCGCACACGCGCACACGCGCACACGCGCACACGCGCACACGCGCCCACGCGCCCACGCGCCCACGCGCGCACGCGCGCACGCGCGCACCCACGCACCCACGCACCCACGCACCCACGCACCCACGCACCCACGCACCCACGCACCCACGCACCCACGCACCCACGCACCCACGCCCGCACACGCCCGCACGCGCACACGCGCACACGCGCACACGCGCACACGCGCACACGCGCACACGCGCCCACGCGCCCACGCGCCCACGCGCGCACGCGCGCACGCGCGCACGCGCGCACGCACCCACGCACACACGCACACACGCACACACCCACGCACCCACGCACCCACGCACCCACGCACCCACGCACCCACGCACCCACGCGCGCACGCGCGCACGCGCCCACGCACCCACGCACCCACGCACCCACGCACCCACGCACCCACGCACCCACGCACCCACGCACACACGCACACACGCGCCCACGCGCCCACGCGCACACGCGCCCACGCGCCCACGCGCCCACGCGCGCACACGCGCACACGCGCACACGCGCACACGCGCACACGCGCGCACACGCGCACACATGCGCACACACGCGCACACACACGCGCGCACAGGCGCACACACGCGCACACCCGCGCACACCCGCGCACACCCGCGCACACCCGCGCACACGCGCGCACACGCGCGCACACGCGCGCACACACGCGCACACGCGCGCACACACGCGCACACACGCGCGCACACGCGCGCACACACGCGCACACACGCGCACACACGCGCACACACGCGCACACACGCGCACACACGCGCACACACGCGCGCACGCGCGCACACGCGCACACGCGCACACGCGCACACGCGCACACGCGCACACGCGCACACGCGCACACGCGCACACGCGCACACGCGCACACGCGCACACGCGCACACGCGCACACACGCGCACACGCGCACACGCGCACACGCGCACACGCGCACACGCGCACACGCGCACACGCGCACACGCGCACACGCGCACACGCGCACACGCGCACACGCGCACACGCGCACACGCGCACACGCGCACACGCGCACACGCGCACACGCGCACACGCGCACACGCGCACACGCGCACACGCGCACACGCGCACACGCGCACACGCGCACACGCGCACACGCGCACACACGCACACACGCACACACGCACACACGCACACACGCACACACGCACACACGCACACACGCACACACGCACACACGCACACACGCACACACGCACACGCACACACGCACACACGCACACACGCACACACGCACACACGCACACACGCACACACGCACACACGCACACACGCACACACGCACACACGCACACACGCACACACGCACACACGCACACACGCACACACGCACACGCACGCACACGCACGCACACACGCACACACGCACACACGCACACACGCACACACGCACACACGCACACACGCACACACGCACACACGCACACACGCACACACGCACACACGCACACACGCACACACGCACACACGCACACACGCACACACGGCCGGTCAAAGTCCCGTACCCCCAGTGAACATCCCAATCTCCACTAAGATAGGTTCTAAAATGGGTGGTGCACCTACCCCAAAATGGGATCCCATTGGTTTTCACTCACAGCCACATATACATCCGTGCGGTAGGCACTCGATGCCGGTGCTCGGTATGATGAGCGTCTTCGACTGGTCGGAAGCCGACAATGTCAAGGGCGGCTGGACCGGGCGCGAGTGGTTCGTGGTGAACAAGGCCAGTCTGACGTGGGCTCGAAATGGGGAACCCGGACTCCCTTCGAAATTAGTTTCCCCTCCAACTCCCTTTGGGGGGACCGAAAACCGAAAATGGTGTTCCCTTTGTTTCGCCTTTAAACCCAGCTCCCTTTTTGGGGGCACCGCAAATGGGACATTTTTGTTTCTTTCTTTGTTCTCAGGGTGACTCAGCTCCTTGGCCGTGCTTCAAACACCGGGGCTCTCAGACACTCCTCACCTTGCCCTCGCCCACTTCAACCCACCCCTTCCGCCAGTCTCCCGTCTTTGTTTCCCAAGGTTCTTGGCTTGAACCCAACTCCTTGGGACCTCGGGTTTTCCCTCGGGTTCCCAAGAGGGTGTTTCTCAGAGCTGGGGAAACATTTCCTAAAATGGCGGTGGGTGTCCTGCTGGTTTCTCTTTGCCAACCTAACCAACCACCTTCTCTCACCATTCTCAGAGATTCCCACGTGTGTCTTGACAGGCGGGACCCCCAAGATTTAAATGTTCCGCTAGTTCCCTTCGAACATTGCAAAAGCGGGACCCGCAAAAAATAGATGTTCCATTAGTTCCCTTCAAACATTGTAATCAAAAATCGGTTTCCCTCAAACACATGACCTTATTTAACCACTAGTTCCCTTCAAACAACACACAAAAAAACACGAACGGTTTCCATTGGCTCCCTTCAAACACCACTAGTTCTCATTAGTTCCCTTTCAGCCTTACCAACACAAATGGTTTCCCTCAGAAGAATGGCGCCACGCCCACCGTTTGCCTCTTTCGCATCCGTAGGCAGAGGTGAAGCTGTCGCCGGACGGCACGCTGATCCCCTGCGTGAAGATGGGGGTGGAGGCACGGACGCAGGCGGGGCGCGGGGCGCGGGGAGAGACGTGGCCGTGGTGGTCAACACCAGTGGGATCCCATTTCTGGGTAGGTGAATTCACCACTTTTGAACCTTTTAGTGGGGGTTGAATCGGATGTTCACTGGGGGCTAACCGAGGTTTTGACCCGTAGCCAGGTCTCCATAGGAACAAGGAAGCTAAAACCTAAGCAATATTGCTCCATCCCTACCTCCGGAGCCAGCAAAAGATTGTTCGAGGAGACCCCAACAAGGTGGTTCAAACAGCAGTGGTGTGTTTCTCCAACTGAGTGAGCGTTATAATATGAAGGTGGTGTAAATCAGGTTACCCCCAATTGGTGGTTCGGATTGGTGGTTTGGGGATGGAACCCCTGATTCTGAGGGCAAATGTGAAGCCACTCAGCCTCCACACCTTCAAACCAGGGACGCTGATTGGGTGTGATTTTTAGAGGGAACCCTTATTTTTTTTAATATTTTTTTTAAAGGGAAGCCGCAAGGAAAACCAACCTTGCGCCATTTTTTTGGGGGCCCGTCCAAGCAAACCCGCGGTTTTTTGCCCAAGGGGCCATGGCCCCTTCTCAGGTGTGCCGAAACGGGGGCCTTGAGGATTCCGCCATCACCAGCAAGAACCACCCTTTGAGGACGGGGATTTGGTGGGCAGGGGAGGGTTGGGGTGGTGGGTTGGGGTGGGTTGGGGGTGGGTTGATAGACACTTAGGGTCTATTGTGCAACCTTTTGTGGGTATTGGTTCGGGCTCTTGGCTGTAAAAGTTGACCTTGAAGTGACCATGGAGAAATGAGTGGCACAAAGCCATCATTGCCTTCTCAGGTCTTGATTGAAGATCGCGGAGGATTTCTCTTTTTTCCGGGTTATTCTGGTGATTTACCAGTGGACTCCAATGTGTTCTCCAAGAAGATGCGTTTCGGAGGAAGGGGTTCTGGGGAAATTTGACTGAGGTGTCTTAACTTTGGGACTGGGCCCCAAGAACCAGCGAATTCTGGCACCCACTTGTTCGGGGTGTTGCGAAGGTGTGTCTGTTGCAAGGATTTGGCCCCATGGCATCGGTTTCCATGGGGTTCCCCTAGGCCACAAAAAGGGGTAGGTGCCAAGATCCATTGAGCGCAGTTGGTGGAAGCTTCAAAAGGCAGCTGCCACGTGTGAAGCTCGATCTGGTCGCTTGAGCTCGAGCCCAGTTCGCATGTTCCTTCCAGTGCCATCCAAAAGGTCTGTCTCGAATGGGGAGCATGTGGCGGTTGGGGAATCTCACAGTCCACTGGTTACCGTGGCAACTACGGCGTCAGGCGAGCTTTGTGAATAGCAACCTTATCCAGGTTCCCTCGCCGAAAACGGATCTGCTTGTTTGGGTATGGGCCAAAATTAGGCTACCAGCAAACCGCAGGTTTTAGTCCATGTTTCCACTTCCCGATGGGGCAACCCATCTTGGGCAACCTATTGTTGACCCACAGCTGCGAGCCCCGTTTTCGCCGCTTCTCTTGCGAGCGAAAGCCAAATGCAGGTCCTTGGGCATGGGCATGGGAGCCTCCGGGAGAGGGGAAGGAACCGGTTTTGGGGATTCCCTCCAAGGAAACCGAATCGGGGATGTTTTTTTTGGAGGTCGTTCCCTCCAAAAAAAGCCATGCTGTGGATGGCTGCGAAATCCATTTCGCACCACAGTTCAGAAACCCAACGGAATGATTCGATTCCCCTGTAAATATCAACAAACAATGGTTTCCCATGGTTTCAAAATGGTGCAGGATTTCGTCCATTCACAGTAGAGGACGGTTTGCAGGGGTCATTCCCTCATCTGACAGGCTGGCTACCACAAGTCAACGAACTAAACGACTTCTAGGAATCCCGCAAACCAGTGGAGTTAGGCGGTGGTAATTCTCTCAGAAGCCCGCAAACTCAGTACCCAATTGACAGGGTCTTCATTCCCTTATCAACCCAACGAAAAGGGCAAAGGGCGCCAGGTCAATGATTGAAGTGCTCCAACATCTTTGTCCCTTCTTTTTGTTGTGGGCGGAATCAAACCTCCCAGAAGAACTAAAGCCCTGTTTTGCCGACCCCTGTTTCAAACCTCCATGAAGAACCAAGACCCTCGTTTTGACCATATCGACCCCTGTTTTGGTCTTGGCTGGGCTGGACATAAAAATGGCCCGCATTCCGCAGATTTTCCGCCGCAGGAAGTTCGCGGAGAACTTTAGCAAGCCGCTCGGCGTCTTACTTGTCATGGCTTCCTGTTTTGGCCGCTTGCGGACATGAAGATGGAACCCATCAAAGAGAGACATGTGTAGAGGAGCGGTCGCTCAACCTATGGAATTGAACATGCAACCCTTAAGAAAGAGACCTGTGCAGAGGATACTGTTTTTTGGCGACCTTCTTGGGTTCCATGTTTTATTTGGAACCTTCAGTCATCCATTCTCAAGGTTCACTCCCCCCAAAATTGAAGAGATCACCGCGATGCTGACCTCGCCCCTGATCTGTCCGAGTGCGGGCAACGAAGGGAACCACGGCGATCGGCGATCGGGACACAGACCCGAGTTGAGTGTTCTCTTTGCGCCTTGCAAAGTCCATTGCCTTGCCCTCGCCAACGTGAAAAGTGTAGCTCCAGAAAACAACTATCACACACACACTAACTAATGTCTCCTTTCTTGGGATACCTTGTCAGGAACTTTGACCTCATCGCGGAGCGGAAGAGCGTGATCTTCGAGCTCCGAGAGCTTGCCAAGGCTCCTTCGGTAAACCCTTCGAGCCGCAGGGCTGTAGAAACGGAATGGCAGCGGGAGGAAACCCACTGAATGGGCTTTGGTTGCATGATGGGTGTGGCTTTTTAAGGGGACATAGTGGTTTTCCTTTTGGTTCCTCTTTCACGCCATAAAAACGGGATACCTCAAAAAAGACATAGCCGTATTTGTTTAAGCCACCAGACTCGATTTGGCTCCCAACAGGAAACTTCACGAGCGTGTTTTTTTGGGTCCCCCTGCACATACCCAGTGGTTCAAATGCCCAAAACTGCTTCTTACTCTCCCGAGCCCAAAAATGGGAACCCCCCAAGAGCAGTTTCGTCTAAAGGTCATAGTTTTGGGTTTCATTCTAATTTGCTAGAGGGTAAAAGGGGCTAAATAAGTACACACCGTCCCACTAGTCAGACGAACCCCCTAAAATAGCTCATTTCTTCACTAAAAGGGGACCACCTCTGAGTAGTATGGTCCTCCGGGTTAATCCGAAGTAGACATTAATGCCTTTATGTGGCTTGAAAGTATGAGAACGGACAATATTAGTGGTCTATGGTGAATTTGCAGAAGACATGAAGGGGGCCAACCCAGTTTATCGTCAAATAAGTCATTGGCAAATAACACGGATGCGGCTCAACACCATGCACCCAAAATGCCACCTTGGTAAATGAACAAGCCCAAAACCAGCGGTTCGCCCCAGCTGAGAACCCAACTTGGCGCAACAAGGGGTCTTGAATCCCATGGTTGGGACCCTCATTAATCTAAGGGTTCATTCCCCATTCTCTTCACCCATCGTTCTCTTTAGAAACCATCCATTTTCCCAAAAATTTGGCCTGTTCTTTGAAGAGAAGGATCCCTGAAGAGAATGGACATGGACGGTACAGCTAGAATTGTCCGCTAATGCAACCACAGATCGGTGCAGTGGGTGGCTAGGCCTCGGCGATGGCCAAGTTCCTGGTGGATTCCGGCACCTCGGTGCCCCAGGATCCGAGGGAGGGAGGCGGATTGGTTGCTTGGTTGGCTGGTTGGTTGGGTACTTGCTTGTTGGTTGGTTGGTCGGTTGCTTGCTTGGTTTGTTTCTTGATTGGTTGGTTGCTTGGTTTGTCTTGGTTGCTTGGTTGCTTGGTTGCTTGCTTGCTTAGTTGGTTGCCTGGTTGCTTGCTTGTTTGCTTGGTTGGGTACTTGCTTGTTGGTTGGTTGATGGGTTGGTTGGTTGGTTGCTTGCTTGCTTGCTTGGTTGCTTGGTTGCTTGGTTGCTCGGTTGCTTGCTTGGTTTGTTTCTTGATTTGTTGGTTGCTTGGTTTGTCTTGGTTGGTTGGTTGCTTGGTTGCTTGCTTGCTTAGCTGGTTGCCTGGTTGCTGGCTTGTTTGCTTGGTTGGGTACTTGCTTGTTGGTTGGTTGGTTGGTTGGTTGGTTGGTTGGTTGGTTGGCTGGCTGGTTGGTTGGGTACTTGCTTGTTGGTTGGTTGGTCGGTTGATTGCTTGGTTTGTTTCTTGATTGGTTGGTTGCTTGGTTTGTCTTGGTTGCTTGGTTGCTTGGTTGCTTGGTTGCTTGGTTGCTTGGTTGCTTGCTTGCTTAGTTGGTTGCCTGATTGCTTGCTTGTTTGCTTGGTTGGGTACTTGCTTGTTGGTTGGTTGGTTGGTTGGTTGGTTGGTTGGTTGGTTGCCTGCGTGCTTGGTTGGTTTGTTTCTTGATTTGTTGGTTGCTTGGTTTGTCTTGGTTGCTTGGTTGCTTGGTTGCTTGCTTGCTTAGTTGGTTGCCTGGTTGCTTGCTTGCTTGCTTGGTTGGTTGGTCGGTTGCCTGCGTGCTTGGTTGGTTTGTTTCTTGATTTGTTGGTTGCTTGGTTTGTCTTGCTTGGTTGGTTGCTTGGTTGCTTGCTTGCTTAGTTGGTTGCCTGGTTGCTTGCTTGTTTGCTTGGTTGGGTACTTGCTTGTTGGTTGGTTGGTTGGTTGGTTGGTTGGTTGGTTGGTTGGTTGGTTGGCTGGTTGGTTGGGTACTTGCTTGTTGGTTGGTTGGTCGGTTGCCTGCGTGCTTGGTTGGTTTGTTTCTTGATTTGTTGGTTGCTTGGTTTGTCTTGGTTGCTTGGTTGCTTGGTTGCTTGCTTGCTTAGTTGGTTGCCTGGTTGCTTGCTTGTTTGCTTGGTTGGGTACTTGCTTGTTGGTTGGTTGGTTGGTTGGTTGGTTGGTTGGTTGGTTGGTTGGTTGGTTGGTTTGTTTCTTGATTTGTTGGTTGCTTGGTTTGTCTTGGTTGGTTGGTTGGTTGGTTGGGTACTTGCTTGTTGGTTGGTTGGTCGGTTGCTTGCTTGGTTTGTTTCTTGATTGGTTGGTTGCTTGGTTTGTCTTGGTTGCTTGGTTGCTTGGTTGCTTGCTTGCTTAGTTGGTTGCCTGGTTGCTTGCTTGTTTGCTTGGGTACTTGCTTGTTGCTTGGTTGGTTGGTTGGTTGGTTGGTTGGTTGGTTGGCTGGCTGGTTGGTTGGGTACTTGCTTGTTGGTTGGTTTTTCGGTTGCTTGCTTAGTTTGTTTCTTGATTGGTTGGTTGCTTGGTTTGTCTTGGTTGCTTGGTTGGTTGCTTGGTTTGTCTTGGTTGCTTGGCTTGTCTTGGTTGCTTGGTTTGTCTTGGTTGCTTGGTTGCTTGCTTGCTTAGTTGGTTGCCTGGTTGCTTGCTTGGTTGCTTGGTTGCTCGGTTGGTTGCTTGCTTGGTTGGTTGGTCGGTTGCCTGCGTGCTTGGTTGGTTGTTTCTTGGTTGGTTGGTGGGTTGGTGGGTTGGTGGGTTGGTGGGTTGGTGGGTTGGTGGGTTGGTGGGTTGGTGGGTTGTTTCTTGGTTGGTTGGTGGGTTGGTGGGTTGGTGGGTTGGTGGGTTGGTGGGTTGGTGGGTTGCTTGCTTGCTTGCTTGCTTGCTTGCTTGCTTGCTTGCTTGCTTGCTTGCTTGCTTGCTTGCTGGGATGCTGGGATGCTGGGTTGCTTGCTTGGTTTGTTGCTTGCTTGCTTGATTGCTTGCTTGCTTGCTTTGCTTTGCTTTGCTTTGCTTTGCTTTGCTTTGCTTTGCTTTGCTTTGCTTTGCTTTGCTTTGCTTTGCTTGCTTGCTTGCTGGGTTGCTGGGTTGCTGGGTTGCTTGGTTGCTTGGTTGCTTGCTTGGTTTGTTGCTTGGTTGCTTGCTTGCTTGCTTGGTTTGTCGCTTGCATGCTTGTTTGCTTGGCTGGTTGGTTGGTAGGCAGGTAGGCAAGCAGCAGACACGCAGCCTTCGTCGCTATCCTGACCCTTCCTGGGCAATATGCCTATGATTCCACGGGGCCCTTTGGAGTTTCAACCATTGCCCATTGCTGATAAGCACAATTCCCCCCAGCGTGCCATATTTCTCCAGCATTGTAAGTCTGGTGACCCCAAGTTCGTAGTCAACACCAGAGCCTACTCTGTCCAGTGCAGCCTCAGTGGAACCCTAGGCTTCCTGGTGCTGACTCAACCCTCGGTCGGCAGTTTTGCAGAGCACATTTGGTTTGACACATCCCCTGGGCTGGCTACGTGGGGAACACATGTCGTTTGTGTGGCGCGGCTCCCAACCAGATTTCTTGTTGCTCGATGGCCAACTGAGAAGGATCATTGACAAACCGCTGGAGACACGAAGCAAACCTGTACAATAGGTGTTTACTCAAATACGTCCACCCGAACGGCCCTGACATGAACATGACCTTCCTGACTCTTGGGCGGTTGGTCACCAAGGCTCCCTTTGCCCAAGGCGCCTGTTGCCAAATGCTACCCATTCAGCTATAGTCCAATCCTTTGCAAGCACGCTTGTTGCCAATAGGGCACAACCACTCTTTTGGACGGCTTACCCCAACCTGGCCCAACCCTCAACATTTGGGACTCGGCATTTTCCTGGGCATACGGGGGTTTGACTGCGTATCTGCGGATTGCCCGCTTTGTGTCGCAGGAGTGGTGGCAACTGGCGGACGACTTGGTGAAGTCGGCGAAGCCGGGGGACAAAAACATCCCGCAGCTTTGGAACATGCGGGGCCAGAGTCGGATCCAGGCGAGTGGAGTGGAGGTTCTTCTTTTGTGGAGCCCGGGTCTTCAGTTTAGGAGGTAGACGGTTTCATGTGGGAATGCGGCAAGGCTTGTTAAGAGGGCCGCAAATCATTCCGCTTTTGGTTGGTTTTTGAAAGCACTAAGAGGGCACGAATGTTGGGGGCTTTGGGAGCCTGAAAAGGAACATGAAACCGGCCAAATACTGTCCCGACACTGACCATGGTTTGCGCATGTGGCAGAGTGGCTTGAGAGCGGTGGCTCGGTCTTGGACCATGCAAATCATTGACATCGAATTGTCATGTACTCCAGCTAAAGTTTTTTGGGGATCAAGTTGGATTGAGCTGTTGCTTCACTCCGGAAAATGGGTGCTACAAATCAACGTGAAACCAAAGGGGGAGGTCCCCCAGAAAGAGATTCCTCTAAAGATGTCAACAATTGGAGAGACAAACGAGCTGGGACAAGGAGCGGAAGGTCCGTGCTTGTCCAGGTGAGGGATGGCAAGCTGGTCAACTCGCAGACGGGACAATGCCTCTTCGACGGTTGGGGGTTGGGACTCCCAAAGGCCTCCCAAAGTATTACGAAGGACATGTGCTTTCCTCTCGGTCCTTGTCAACCAAGATGTGTTTCTTTGAACATGGGAGGCTCCAAAGAAGCCGCCTTGAGCTTCTGGCTTTTAGGGTTTCGTTTTTAGTTTCCCATTTGGCCATGAATTGGGATGTTCACTGGGCTTACGGGGTTTTGACCCATGGCCATTTGACCAACTCACTTTTCACGGATCAGTTGCAGCCCGGAAAAGCGACACGAAGCTTGGGGGAACCTGATAAAAGGTCTTCAGATGGGTTTGGAGAACGACATGTCTCAGAGCCAGCTACATTCCACGCACCAAATCCGTGTTCTTTGGTGGATAGTTGGCCTTGTTTTTCCTGTAGACATTGATGTGGCTGCTTCCAATGAACATGGCTTTCCTTTTTCCATGAGCGGGTTTCACAGTTGCCTTCCTTTTTTAAAGCCCAGGGTAGATGAGGGGCATGTTAGGAAACCTTCCTGTTCATTGCAACACTTAGCACACCTTTTCTCCACTTTTTGCCTTGGCATTCCTTCATTTCCTGATTCAGCAGAAAGCCATCGCGTTCCGCACAAAGATTGAGTCTGGCTCAGCGGAAAGCTTCTTATGGTTTCTAGGCCCATGCTGAGCTGTTTCTTTGGGAAATTATAGGGAGCTCTATCTTTTTCGACTTGGGCTGTCTCTTTTTCCGATTCCAGTTCGGGGGGAAATATGGGTATGTCCGTTTGCAGGGAACCTCCAAAGTGTTTGTGTTCCTTTGACAGTACCAAACAAAGGTACCGCCAAAAAAGACATCATGGGCTTATGTTTTCGAGGGTACCCTTGCAAAGGTTGGTCTCAAGGGAAGCCAAAAGCACAGCCGTCATTTTGGAAGCCTCTCCTAATCCCTACTTTGACACGCGTGACCCCAGCGTTTTAAGCGGGTTTGGATCTGCGGTTTTTCGAAATTTGAACCCTGGTTCTTGTATAAGTACCCAACGTCCAAGCCGCCGATTCGGCTTTGAGAGCACACCCCTGGTTTGGAACCCACAACCATTGGTGTCCTTTTTGCTCAAACAAGACTTGGGCGATTCCTGGTGCATGGTTCAATCACCTACCAGGGAAGTCCATCATATTTGCCGAAAAGGAGACCTACTGTGGATGGAGGAAATCCTGCAGCACCTAAGCCCTGGCATGATGATTCCCCATATACCAACACACGATGGTTTCTCTTGGTTTCCAAGAGGTGCGAACAGATTTTGTCCATCGTAGGCCCACGTTTTCCAACTGAACCCCTCCACCCTCAGCGACCGCCGCCCGCCTGACTCAGCCGCCCGCCTGACTCCGACGCGCGGCGCGCCCGAGGCTACCTCACCAGCGTCTACGGCGGCATCGAGTTCGGGCTGGACCGCTTTGAGCTCGCGCAGCGCCACACGCTGAGGCCCAGGGACGTGAAGGGGGGCGAAGCCGGGGCCCCAAAAAACACACACACACACATATGTACGTATAATACATAACACATATGTATATATATATATATATATAGACACTGTATATGTGTATATATATATACATATACACACAGGAGTGGGCGGGGGTGTGGGATACCTAAAAGCCAGCTTTTTTTCTTCGGATTTTAACTAAACCGCAATTGTGTGTGATTATTTCGTGCATTATATGGAACACCTGAGCCGTCGGAACCAGCGAACCCCCGGGGTATGACCCCAATGCAGACCCTCGGGCGAGCAAGCATGGTGGAAACCCACTCCCGAGAAAACATGTTCCTTTGACTACAGAAAAAGAGGGTACCAACTTATTCTAAGCTCTCCACTGGACCTATAAATGGTTGGGAGTCGAGGAATTGGCGGGTGGCCGAGTCGAGCTTAAGCCGGCAAACTTTTATTGCCCAGAGCAGCTGCACCAAGCTAGAGCATGCCGCCTTTCCCTTGCGAAACTCTCCTCTAAAATCTAAAAACGGTTTTATTTGTCTTAGGGTAGGCGAAATGGGCGTGAACTCTAGTTCGTGATTTTTGGGTGGACATCATTTCGGTGGGGATGCATGTCCATCAGCCACTTTTGAGGGGTTGTTTGTGCATGACACCAACCCTCCGCGCAACCCTCCCCTCCCAACCCCATCCCACCCCCCAACCAAACTTCCCAATTCCCCTTCGCCCCCCAACCTGCAATCCCACAGACCTCCACCCCACTCAACCACCAACTCCTTCCTCACACCCCGCACCCCAAGCAACTCCTTCTCTCCAAGCACCAAAGCTCCCAAAGCTCCCAAAGCTCCCAAAGCTCCCAAAGCTCCCAAAGCTCCCAAAGCTCCCAAAGAACAGCCCAAAACTCCCATGACAGCCCAAAGCTCCCAAAGCTCCCAGAACAGCCCAACAAGGCCCGGAGTGCAAGCCACAGGCCGGTGGGCGCCGGCGGCTCCACCATGGTGGGGGGGCTGCAGGGCATGCAGCTGGGCCCCACCGCGCGCCCGGGCTTCGCCCCCCCACGCTTCCAGCTGACCCAGCGCCCCGCAGCGCCCGCCCCCGGGGCCGAGCAGCCCCAGGCGCTGATGTCTGATGCCGAGAAACCGAGCCGGGCGTGGTGGGTCGTGTTTTTTTTTTGGCGTTTGGGTGTTTTCTGTTTGGGCTTTGGGGTGGGTTTTCTTTTTTGCTGTTGGGTTGGAGGTTTGGGTTTTCGGGTTAGGTTGTTGGGGTCGAGTTTCTTTCCCTTTTTTTGTGAGTTTTCACAGTTGACTAGTTGACTTGTGCAGTTAGGTACATTCTATACCATTCTGTTTTTAAACCAGTATGCTACCCTTGCGGAACCCCTCAACGAAGGAGTAGTGACGGGGATGGGAATCCTTCTTTGAGAGCTGGAGGATCTTGGTAGTTAACTCGAAGCTACAAGGACAGCCTTGCCATTTTAGACCACTTGTCAATTCGGATTTGGCAAGGGCTTCTTTGTATTTTTAAGGCGGCCCGTTACACTCCTACAAATTCACATGGAACCCAATTTCTCCGTCCTTTCCAGAGGAACCTCCTTTGTGGGCACCCCCTTGGTGAACCTTCCCTCCATGAATTTTCGGGACTTCCGTCACTTGGAACATGGTCGGCTCGAAGCTTGGCATTCTCTTTTTTCTTAATGGCGGCCTGAGGGCCCCTTTTACCCGGTTCAGGATGACCCATCTATTTACTGGTACAGAATTAAGACAAAATGGCCACTGAAGTGGCATTCTGGACCACTTGGCTACGAAGACGTCCCTCAAATCCACATGTTTGGGCTGAAAATGGCATCTTGCCATCGGGCGTCACCCAGACCCTCCAAACCCTCGGACCCTCCGAGCCGTGCAGGGCGTGGATCTGAACCTCGACGCCTTCGACCTCTCCCAACCCGAGAAGTTCGCGGAGGGCGCCGGCTGCTGCAGCGCCCCCTTGGGCTCGTTGGAGGCGAGCGACGGATTGGTCGAGCCGTTTTTTTTCTCCTTTTTTTTTTTTTCTCCTTTTTCTTTGTTTTTCTTCTTTTTTTCTTCTTCTTTTTTTGTCTTTTTCTTTTTTTTCTTCTTCTTTTATATATATTATATATATACACATGTTTTTTTTTGCGTAACGCAGAGCCGACGATTTTTCTTCTTCTTTATTTTTGGATTTATTTTAGTTTGCAAGGGACCGGTGGTTGGGTTGAAAGTGGGCGGGCAAATCCCTTCTCAGCTTTGAAACCGCTTCAAGCCACGAAACATCCTTTTTTCCTGCCAACGAAGGGTGAATCGCCTTCAGTCAACCAGAACCCCTAGCATCTACCAAGGGGGGTGGCCCATCTTAGAAATAAGAACCATTTTTTTGTTTCTTGAAATCCGCAGGTTGGGTTCAACCCCCTGTCCGAATTTTGGACTCATTTGATTCCTTGGCGCGGTTGGAAGGTTGTGGGCTTGTTGCTTTCCAGGGGCTCCCAATCTGGTGACTTTCTGCTCAAGTGGCTTCTCTCAAAGAAACACCCCAGCAATCGCTTCTGTCATAACCCAGAAAGCAGTGTAGGCCTTTTGAGCCACAATTTTTACACTCCTTATATGGACTATGGTCGTGGTTCCCTGGATACGAATCATGATAGTCATTCAGCATCCTTACTACCACGTGGATGACCATCCCCGTTAGTGCAAACAAAGGAACCGGTCGAAAAGACCATGGCTCATTTGAGCCACAAGAAAACCGAAGGTTGCAACATCGAAGCGTCTACCATTACCCGAGCTTTTCTCCCCAACCACACAACCTTTTCCCGGAATTCAACAGGGTTCCCTACATTTTGTTTCATGCCTGGAAGACATCCTTTCTGGGAAGACAGTTTCAACTTGGAGCATGGGACAAGGGCGTGCAAACCTCAGCTTTGAGGTTGGAACAAGTCGGGGAATTTTGTGCAGCCCCAACAACCGGCCAACCCTCAGCTAGGTTGGCGAACATATGGGACCTGCACCAAACCACCACCCATACCCCGGCTTTGAAACCGCGACCCCCACCCAACCCGCACCCCACCCCACCCACCCCAACCCAACCCAACCCAACCAACAAACCCGCACCCCACCCCAACCCCGACCCTGACCGAGTCGAACTTCCCTCGAGCGACTGACCTGACCTGCCCCGAACGCCGCGACCTGCGAGGCGCGGGTGCCGCTGGGTCTGGCGTTTCTGCGGGGGATGCAGAGCAAGGCCTTCAAGGCGGAGGACCGGAGCCTGCTGCAGAGCCTCTTTAAGGCGCGAGGGATTGGAGGTTTTGGAAGTTGTTGTTTTTTTTTTTTGGGGGGGGTTTTCGGGGCGGGGGGGCTGGCTGGGGTTGGGGGTGGGAGGTGGGTGGGGGAGGGTGTGTGGGTGTGGGTGTGGGTAGGGGTGGGGGTGGGGGAGGGTGGGCGAGGTGCGCAGGGATTGGAGGTCTTGGTGGAGGTTTGAGAAGGGAGGGCTGGGTTTAGGGGGTTTGTGGGTTTAAGGGTTTAGGGTTGAGTTGGGGGATTGGTCTGGGGTATGGTTTGTGTAGGGTTTTTGGGGGGCGTGGAGGCATGGTTTTTCGGTGGGAAGGCTGGCTTCATTGGAGCTGAGCCAACGCCGTAGGTTTCATCAGAATTCCTCCCTTCCCCCCCCCCCCCCTCCCCAAAAAACAAAGAAGAGGAAGACTGGTGGTTCCCTTTTAAACCAGGCAAGAAGAAGCAAGTTGCGTTAGTGGCAAAGACGTCATTACATGGACTGCCTGATTGGCGCCACAAAAAGAGTTGTTTCCCACATTGGCCAAAGCCAACACAACTTCGGTCATTTGGGGAGGAGGGGCGTTTCCTGAACTGGTTGTCGGCAGACTGCGTTGATACCAGTTGTTTTTAGAAAAGGTGCATGTTCAATTGTATTTCAGAGTGTGATGTCCTGGTTTTGACTCCTGGCTACGCAGTATTGTCGTGACGCGCTTGACAGTCGGGCAGTGGTCCGCGGTGGGACCGCGCGGTTGCTGTTTCGCAGTGAGTTTTCATCGAGGGCAGCGAGTTTTCTTGTAATTCGCTGCAATAGTCTGTATTAAGCTCTACATAGGCAGTGTAGTGGGGTTGCCACATGCCTGGAATGGCCCATTTGGATAAATTGCTTTTTGACATCCTTTGAGGTATAGAGTAGAGTTTGATTGTTTTCTGAAACAAATAAGTGCAAGAACCAACCAACAAAAGAGCCGAAAAAGAACACCCGTTGTATGTGTCATGTAAGGCATGATCCCAGTTGTTTTGGACGTATCAAATCAGCTGCACCGCCGCTTGTGATTTGAAGGGCAGGAGTGTGTTGCAGGAGTGGCCGCGCAAGTCAAACATGGGGCTGCGCAAGCAAAGCGCAAGTGAAGCGCAAGTGACGCAGTGATTCATCATCATCATCATCATCATCATCATCATCATGATCATCATCATCACCATGGCCCAAAGACTAACAAGTGTTCGCGCAAGTCCCGTGCAAGTCGCGCAGCCTGCAGATGTCCCCAAACTGCTTGGAGCAGGAGTGGCCCATTTCTGTATTTTGCTTTTTCTTTTTTTCTGCAGATTTTGGAAGATCATTTTCCTTTCAAAGGGATCCCCTGTCAGGTTCCATGTTACTTGGTGGGAGGGTGTATATTATAGACATAGGTGTCCTTTTTAGGTGAGCCTGGTTCAAAAAAGATGGCACTGGTTTAGATGGGTTTTGTTCCATTTACCAGGGAAACCCATCTATTTGTCCAAAAGGCCACCTATGAGTATAGATTTTTTTCCAGTCTTTCGGTACTTCGGGTGGGTTTCCGTTTCCATTTCTCCCGCGTTTTCTTTTGTGCATTTTGCCAAGGGATGTTAGGACTTTATCTCTTTTTGCTGACTAATGGGTTTTCCGCATTAAACCACTAAACGTTAAAAACTTTTAGTGGGGGTGGGGAGGGGGGGCAGAAAGCAACCGAGTATATATATATATATTATATTTACGGTCCTTCGGTGCTTCGGGTTGGTTTCTGTTTCCGTGGGAGGAGCAGCTGGCCGACCGGCTGGAGGGGGATGCCTTCGTGCCGCCAGACCCGGCGGCCCGGCTTTTGAAATCGGTCCGTTTGACCCGTTTAGATCGGCGGGTCTGGGCCGATTTTTTATCTATTCATGGCGTATTTTATCCTTACACGTTTTCCACTTCTTCTTCTTGTTCTTCTTCTTCTTCTTCTCCTTCTTTCTTTTTTTTCCCGGACTTAAACATGTTTTGTTTTGGCACTTTCTTCAAGCAAACGAAGATGTTGAATGTTTGTGAACCATATCTACAAGCTTAGTTGGATGGGTTTGTGTTTTGGAACCAGCTTTCATGTATGGTCTCCCTTTTTCGGGGCGAAGTTTGGGACAGTTGGAAAAGGAACAAAAACAAGTTTGCATGACTCCCAACCCACTTTGCCCAGTTTGGGTGGACCTCAGACCGCAATGACGTCACGGGACGTGGAGCTTTGGGACTTCCGGTTCCGAAGGTCGGCCTTTTGAAGGGGACAAGGGTTGATCAGAAGGTCCTGTTCGGGATGACCATTCAAAGCCACAGCGCAAAGGGTAGGAAAGGTCACCTCCTGGTCATTTGGGGGCCCAAGGGAAGATTGAGCCCAGAAAAAGAGTTGGTTAAGACCAAAAGTGGGCTACGCAGACACTCCTCCTTCCAATGCAGACACTCGTGACCTCGTGGTCACGTGTCCTGATATCCCGCGTTTCGGAACGGGCTTCGCCTGACGTTTTTTTCCTCAACTGGGTGGATTCAATGGAGAGAGATGGCCCTGTACCTTGTCGCTACATGTCCCTTTTGAGTATGTTGGAATATCACCATTTGTTGCATCGCCGTGTCTTTTTTTGAGTTGAATATGTTTTTTTTCCCCTCTCGGGGGACAATCCAAAATGGTTGTTGTTCCTTTTGCCAACCACTCCAAACAGAAAGACATGCCGACTCCAAAAAAAGACAAGACACATGCAGAAATATATGGATCTTTCTCCAATCAGGGCTCGCTTTTTTTTCTTCTTCTTCTCTTTTTCTCCTTTTCCTTTTTTGGAGAAACAGTCAACATCGAACCAGGCGCTGCAACCGCCTCAACTTGCCGTCGCGAAAAAAAAACCGCCGCAGCGACTCCGAGGACATGAAGTACATCTCCAAGCTGCGGGCCTTGATCTCCGAAGAGGAGCTTCGCCGAGATTTCCCCGAGGGCCGATTTTTTTAAAAACCCAGTTGACCCGTGGATTCCGCCTTCTTTTTCTCCCTTTTTTGTCGGGTTTTCAACTTCTTTGTTGGGTAAGGGTGTCCCTTTAAACTCAACCAACCAATAAAAGGATGCCCTTTTTTCCCACTGGCCACTGGGCATCTGAGTTTGCGAACGCGAGCTCGTCTGAGCCAAGTCCCCAAAACCAACTGGGGTAGACGAAGGTTAGGGGAGAATCCCCAAGAAAAAAGATGGGTGCGGATAGCCGTTTTTTTTTTTTTTTGAAACATGGTTCAGGGTAGGCCACTTTAACGCCAGGTTTTGATTGCGACTCGCCTGAAGGTAAAATGATAAAGGCCCTTCACTTGGGGAGCCGTAAATTCAGCTTTTAGAATTGCAGCAAAATCCTCTCGGTCAGGACGACCGGCCTTGTTGGGCCATTTTGTGAGTGCGCCTTCGGGTAGACTTGGGCCTATCGTTTTTGAGGGAGTTCCGCCCTTTGGGGGGCGGTTGAACGGGACACCAAGAGTGAAGCCAGCCACTTTTGGGTCCCCTCGTTTTTGGACAAACGCACATAAACCCAGGAATTGCCTTGAGTTTTCCTACTCAAACCTGGAACTCTGGATTGGCAGTCTTGTCCAGGCTCATGTTCACCTCTTTGGCCCACGGGTCCCTAGGGCTGATGTTTTGCGGGGAAACATGCGGAATCCAGAATCCTGTTGACTACCAGGTTTGATTCATGACTCGTTGTCGCTAGGCAAGCCATGTGAGCCACATCCTCAAAACCCGGGTAGATGAAGGTTAGTAAGGGACAATCCCCTTGCCATAAATAGCTGCGGAATTCCGCCTTCTTAATTCTTGAAGCATAGTTCTGGGATTGCGGCCATTTTAGTAAGCGGTTTTGATTATGACTCATGTGGGAGGTTTTGGAGATACCCCTGGGGCCCAACAGCAGCCCAGCGGGGCACCAACAGGGGCTTTGGGGGGGTGTGGGGTTGGTGTTCCCAAAAGGTCCCTGAACAAGTTATGCTTTGTTGGCTTTTGTTGGGGAAAAAGGGGGGGGCGGTTGGGATTAGTTTTATGTTGTTCTTTTGAGGGCCTTACTCACCTGCGCACTCACTCAGCACAACCGTGTTTTCGTTTGTACGTTTGTATGCTTGTTTGTTTGTTTGTTTGTTTGTTTGTGTGTTTTTGTTTGTCTGTCTGTCTCTCCGGCTGCCTGCCTCCCTGCCTTTCTGCCTCCCTGCTGCCTGCCTGCCTGCCTGCCTGCCTGCCTGCCTGCCTGTCTGCCTGCCTGCCTGCCTGTTTGTCTGTTTGGTGGGTGGGTGGGTGGGTGGGTGGGGTGGTTTGTTGGGAACTAAAAGGAACACAAAAAACCATTTTGGGGGGTCCAAATCCGAAGGAACGACACACCCAAACATCCACCACCAAGGGAAACTCACCGTGATGGGCTAAAATGGTTTTTAGAACATTCGCAACAAAGACATGTAGGGACCCCTGTGCAAGGTACAGGGGCATCTCTCTCCATTGATTGCAGCCTTTTGAGGAAGAAACATGATGTACCACAGCAGGAAAGAGAGTCCAACTAAGTCAGCAAGAATTCCTCACAGTTTCCCATTTATCGAAAGGGTGTAAGGTACGGTCGATGCCCCATATACTGCAAGTACGGGAACAACGGTCAATTCGGGGGGTTCATGGTTCCCGTGCTTGCAATATGGGTGTGGCTCAGAATTAAAATGCCAGGGCAAAATTGGGATGCATCCCTGGCACCTTTCAAGGCCCATTTGCCACAGTTTTTCGAGCCACGCCCAGCTTTTGGGAGAAAATTGGGCTGCGTCCCTTGGTTTTTTTTGCCTCTCAGGACGTTCTGCGCCAGAAGCGGAAGGCCCAGTTCTGCGACGCCGCCTTCATCGCGGAGCAGCCTGGGGCCCTCTTTCCCAGGCGGGGGGATGGCGGGAGGCCTGGTGGTCGGTTTTCCCCCCCCCCAAAGAAAATAGAGTCCGACCTAAAGGCGTCCATTTGCTGAAACGCGTATTTTTTGGTTTTCCCCTGTTGGTCTTGAGGGGGGGCTGTCACTGCTGGAGCGCTTCTTGCTTTTTTTTGGAGGGTACCCGGTTTTTGGGGAACCAAAAGGAACACCCAAATCCAGTTTGGAGGGGCTCCCTAAAAAAGGCAACCAAAAGGGGGTGGACGACAATTTTGTTGGTCCCGCTTCTTCAAAAGAAAAAAACGGAAATGGATTGGGGGGTAGGAAAAATAAGCGAATCCCGTTGCAGGAACAAAATTGAACGACAGATTCGTTTTGCTTCATGGGTATCGCAACTAGTCAACCCCCTGAAAGTGTTTGTTCAAGCGGTGTCAGAAACTAGGAGACCCCCATTTCATTAGGCCTCGGAAGGAAACCAAGATGAAGCTTCATTGTTTGGACATGTTCCCAAGTGGAAACAGGGAGATGGGGAGACAGGAGGTGGGGTGGTTTCCTATTTTTTGCAAGTCCAAATCCAAAGCAATCGAAGTCACCAAAGGGGCACCCGAAATGACGCAGGCATTGGACCTCCAACTTCCAGCTGGAGCAGGAGGCGGAGTCTCCCGTCCCGGCGGTTCGGTCTTGCTGTAGGTGAGCCCCAGAATCAGAATGGCTTCGGTCTTCCTATTTTTGAAAAGAAAAACAACCCCAAAATGGGTACTCAGGCAAAAAAGGCGGACCCATCTCCCACAGAAACTTTATCAGTTTTTGCAATATAGGAAAGAAGCACCATCGGAACGCCCAAAAGAGGGAGGGCACCTCGCATTTGTTGTCGCCGATTCGGTGGACGACCGAAAGAAGTTTCGAATTGGATATAGCTCCAGGATAGTTCTGGTGCCTACCAGAAACTGGTGGCGATCGCCTTGGGGAGGCTTCCGTTACGCTGCACGACTCCAAGTGAATGAGGGAGAAAGGAATGAGCAAGATTAGACGTGGTAATTAATGCAGAATAGAAACAACAAAAGTCAACATGAGAGAGAGAGAGAGAGAGAGAGAGATAGAGAGAGAGAGAGAGAGCACAATCTCTTCTGTTTCATTGTTTTTTGTTTGTTTTTGTGTGTGTGTGTGTGGTGCTGTTCTCATTTGCAGAGCTACTCACACCATTATCCGTTAGGGTTGGTGGGTGTTTCATCTCCTTTGGCATCAGCCCCTCCCCCAACAAACCACGTCGCATTCCTTTCTCCCTCGCAAAAAATGGGGCAGGAACTTCCCCTGACACCAAGACCCATCCATCTACCCCTGAGCTCTCTCTCGCTCGCCGAGAGAAAGCTCTCGCTCGCTCGCTCGCTCGTTCTGGCCCATTATTTCACCACTATCAAAGTCACCCCCCAAATAGTAGGTTAAAGGCCTGCAAAACTGTAACCCTCGCCAACCTGCCAAAGTATCAACGCTGCAAGACTTCCCAACCCACCCAAGCAAGTTTCCCCCAGTTTCTGACTTTGACCACCCCCCCAAAACACTCAAAATCATGAGCCTAGACCCCCTAAATGGTAGGTTAAAGGGAAACCACCCCAGTTTATGACTTTGACCACCCCCCAAAAACACTCAACATCATGAGCCCAGGCGCTCGTTTTTTTCTTCTTCTTTTTTCTTCTCGTCTTTTCTCGGCAGCTCTCTTTGCAGGGGCTCTCCACGAAGACGGTGAAGAAGGCCCTGCGCAGCGGCCTGGTGCAGCTCTCCGTGGACCCCAAGTTCCAGCGCCACGTCGCCGAGGCGCGGAGAAGCGGAAGCGAAGCGGACGCGCCGACCGGAAAGGGCGGCCGAGGGCTTCGGAAGAGCCGGAGGGAAGGGCCTTTTTTTTTTTCCTCTTCTTTCTCCGCATCAGCTTTTTGAGGGCTTTTGGTGCGTTTGCTGGGGTTCTGGTTGGGTTGGGCATCCCGAAATTTGGCTTTCCTTGTAACACGGTACTCTAGAAAAAGACACACCCATATCATTCTTTAGGTGGCTTGTAATGGTTGCATACCCCAAGTTTCCCCCCATCCCGTTGGACACCCAGTGTCATGCTTCGTTTCGAGCGGTTTTGAACAACACCTGTTTGGTTCATACTGTGGGTGGACGAAATTTTGCACCGCTTTGAGACCAAATCAAACCGTACCGTTTGTTGTTATTTACAGGGAATCGAATCATTCCTAGGGTTTCTGAACGGTGGTGCGAAATGGATTTCGCAGCCATCCATAGGTGCGTTTCCCTTGATGATTCAAATGGAAATCAAGGCCTTGCCTGTGGCCACGGCCCTTTCAGGCAAGGCACTAGGAGAAATCTGCCCTGGGACCTCTTACGTGAAGTGCTTGCAATCGAAGAGCTTGGATCGCCGGCTTTTTTTTTCCTTCCTCAGCCACTGTGACTGATTCTGGTTCATGCATCGCAGCTTGGCTATCTGGGAAGCAGCTTTTTGACTTGGAAGTAGAGGACTTCAACTTGACCAACATCCTGCGCACGGCTGCGGAGATCCGAAAAGAACCCCGAGCTTGCGCTGCGCGCGCGATTTGCGCGGCGCAGATAGAGTGTCCCTTTTGCACACCCCAGGATCATCTCACTTTTTTGCAACTGAAGTCAGTACCTGGATCGCCAGTGGGTTTTTTCCATGGCCACGGGTTTTGGGTTGTTGTGATTGCCACTGCTTTTTGGACAGCTAGGGATTTCGGACAGAGGGGTGGCGATGAAAGCTAGCAAAGATTGCCATTTTAGTAGGTGGTTCGGTTCCTACCTGTTAATTGGGGGTTGTAGTGAGGCCTATGCCTTTACAACCATCATCGCATCAAAAGTCGATGGGTTTCACTCGCTGCTCGATTCTTTTTCTGCCATGAAGCAGCTGGTCGCAGTCAAGACTTGAGACCCTTTTTTGTTGGAAGTCACTCAACTTCCCACGAAGACCAAGCAACTTACTCGTGTTCTTTCCTGTTCCCCTTCAAAACCCCACCAAAAGGGGGGAACAAACTCCAAAAGAGACGAGCCCCCCGCATATTTTGCCTCGTGCCTGCCGCTTGGTTTTTGGTTGCTAGGTCCCCCAGTAATGCCCTTTTACCCTTTTTTGGGGGAGGGTTCCCCTACTAAAATAGACTACAGAACAAAGATTCTAACCTCTCAACTGGAGGACCTAGGTCCCCGGGGTTTTTGGACGTCTCTCGAGGTGGTGCTGCCGGAGATGGCGCCGGCCTTTGAGAAGAGCGTGGAGGACTGACAAGTGGGTGAGCCCTATGCCCCGCTTTCCACATACGAAAGGCCCTCGAGAGTCAACATATGAACCACAATCAAAACCCGGATAGATGGGTGTTAAAGGGAAACCACAAGGAACATGTGAGTCACAATCAAAACCCGGGTAAGTGAAGGTTGGTAAGGGATACTCCCAACCATAAATAGCTGCCGCCGCCTTCTTAATTCTTGAAGCATGGTACTGGGTAGACCATTTCGATACCGGGTTTTGATTTTGACTCATATGGGGAAAATCCATAGTCTTGAGACTCACATGATGGGAGAATCACATGTTGGAACCCGAATGTTGAGAAAGATCTGTCTCAAATTCTGGGTCTGCCCTTTTTGGATTGAAACAGAATTGAAAGGAACCAGCCAGCGGGAGGCCCAATTTTGAGAGACAGCCTTATCTAGTTTTTGGGAACCGAAACAGATCAGGGGAACCTAAATCTCTTTGGGGAGCTCCCCATTGCTGGTTGGGATTAAGCAGAAACGGGTTGAAGCAGCAACCAAAAGGACGCCACAAACTCTTGGGCTGAGACAAACCCATATGGCTGTGACATCTATCGCGGAACACCCCCCGAGCATGGCTGGTGGACATCAATCCCCCATGTAAAATGATGTCCACCCGTACCAAGGGTCCCGAATGAACAACACGCCCCCATAACTGGGATCAAAGTATTGTTTTGAGAGATTTTCCCTTTCCATACACAGTGCCAATGACGCCTAGCGTTCTTGACACAAGCACTATTGTGCCCTGCAGCTCAGTGGCTGCTGCTGTGCATGTCTTTGGGTGTGTGCCTCGTAGCTAGCTACCTGCTTCAGGCAACCTTAAATTGGCGGTACGGATTGGTGGTTTGGGGATTTGATCCTGGCTCTTGCCGAGGGTATCAGGGAACGCCCCCCCCAAACCAACAATCTTAAGTCACCATCTAGAGGGAAGCCGAGATTTTGTTTGGAGCTTGCCGTTTCAGGAGATATAGGACCATTTATTTTTAGATGTTGGATTATTGTCTCGCTCCCCCAAAACCGCTGTCGACTTTTCGCACCCACATTTGTTCACATTGCTGAAGCTGTCTTTTTCCAGGTCCAAGCAAGTAAGGACAACTTTTTTTCCTTTTTTCCCAGGTCCTGTGGGCCAGTGAGGAGCGTGTTTTGATAGGTTCGGTCACACTATCTGACTCACAACCATCATGGAAACCGTGTATTTCGACCGCAGCTCGTATGCCTTCCCCCCCCCACCCTTCCGAGGAATACCTTTCCAAATGGTTTGTGGAAATGATGGCCACCCCTGTGTCCACCAAAGCGACTGGTTTGAAGAGGACAGGGAAAGAAGTTCCCCACATCTCCGGCAACAAATCCGGGGTTGCCCCCCCCCAATGTTCCCATGTCATGGTTTTCGCATCCTGTGCCATGGGTTACGGCCTTTTGGGAAAAGGACGCAGGGGGTAATAGCAATCAATCTTTGTTTTCCACCCTTGGCTCAAACAAAAACAAAAAGGCCATAAACATTAAGAGTCGGAACCACCCGAAGAGCAAGTTGGTGGACACAATTCCGCTCCGAACTTTGATGTCCACCATTTCGGGTCCCAACTTTGTATTCATACCTACATGGGCGTGTCTTTTTCTGTGGGAGCATCAACATGGGGCTTTCCTTTCGTTTCCCTGTACCCCCCCATCATCGGGGTACACGTAAAATAAGACAGACCCATATATTCTCACTTGCCCAAAGCAAATCGAGGTGATGACCTTTTATTTCCATTTGGGCAATTGAGTTACACATTGGAGCAAAATTGGGAAGCCTGGATCCGTATTAATAGCAAACACAGTTCTTCTTTTGTTTTCCGGCCAGTCTTTTCTAGGGCCAGGGGTTAGAGTCATCCCTACTTAACAACAAACCCCGGTTTCGACCGAGGTTTCAAAGTGGCGCGAAGGGTTTTTCGTCCATACACACTACGCATACCATGGGCAACCAGGCCGGGGGGGGGGGGGAAAACAAGAAAACGAGGCGCCGCGTGGCGAGAGCGACCGCCGCACCGGAGGACGGCTCCAGCTTCCGGATCTACCGCTGCGGCACGTTGGAGGTCCGCACCATCCAGGACCGACCGGCCCGCTTTGCGGGCCCCGAGGGCTGGGCCCTTTTTTTTTGAGGCCCGGTGGGGTTCATTTTGGCCTGTGCTAAAGGGGAAACCGAACAAGGACTCCCGCAATTTGGGGGGGGGGGGTTGCCCTAAAAAAGGACAGACCCCAATTTTTCCTGGCCGACGCAGGGGGTGCGTTCTCAAGATGGGTCTGTTTTTGAGTTGGTTCCCATTTTTGGGTTTTAAAGAAAAACCACAAGGAAACCAATTGCGCCATCCGAAAAGAAAGACACACAAACACACATGATTTCGGAGCCCTCTTGGGTGCTTGAGGGGGAACCAAAAGGACACCAACCGTGGGGGACCAATCCTATTTTCAGAACTCCTTGATTGAGAGTTCAGGGTGCCTCTTTTTTTTGTGTTTGGGGAAACCAAGGGGACGGCTCGCTCAAGAATCCAAGGGAACCAATCCAAAGCAAGACAACCAAGAAAAAAACAAAACGGCCAATGTGGTGGGGTTCTCTGTATACACTGATTAGTTCAAACGCAGAGCCTTGTTCGAATGGGGATGGGAAGCCCAAAGGAGAAAAAGTCAGCCATATTTTGAGGCCCACTGAGCGTTGTCAAGGGCCAGAGCCGCAAAACAGGCAAGGCCCAATATTTTCAAGAAGCGGCCCCAGTGGCGTTTTCGGGTTCCTATTGGGGCTTTATATTGGGGGGGCTCTTGAGAACCATAGAACAAATAGCAAGGGGAGCCGTTGCAACCTAGTGGTTATTAGTAACTAATGTTGACCCCATATTATTGAACTAAGCTGTTTATTAATAGGGGGTGTTCCTGGGTGAAATGTGGGGAATCCGACCACTTTTGGAGGGGCCAAAACCACCCCTTTATTAATAGACTGGTTGGTTGATTTTCCTATGGGGTTAACATTATGGGACCAAGGACCAATCAGGGCCATGTCCCTTAAATGGTTCTACCTGGATCACTGCGGATAATCACGTCTAACCCACAAGAAGCTGGGGTCATTTTGACTCTGGGGTTGTCAAAGTCAGAATCTGGGGTTGTTACTCTACCCACACGTAGGTGACTTTGATAGTGTCATGATACCCCTCCCCTGTAGAGTGGTCGTGGGTGGGGCAGGAAGGGTTGGCTAAGGGTTGCTTAAGATTTGGGTGTGTCGTTTTTTGAGGGTTCCCTTCTTGGGGTTGGTTTAAAGGGACGAAAACACACTCAATTTCCCCCCCATTCACAGGAAGAAAGACAGATGGTGTCGACATCAAGTGTATACCCCCCAAAGTGAGAAAGTGAAGGGTGAAGGTTGAGCCGCGCGAAGACGACGAAAAAGCGATCGAGCTCACTCACCAGAAACATTGGTTGGACCCCACCCACCCAAAAGGTTCTCAGAGCCCTCTTTAGAACCCCAGCCGCAAACCCTTCTTGGGAGGGTGGTTCAGCTTTTTACCGCAGGAGTACCCTCAAAGAAACACCCGCGCACGCGCTGGGTGCGGGGTGCGGGGTGCGGGGGTCGTTTCTCAGGAGGTGTCGGGCCCTGAGAACATCATGGCTGTGTTCTCCCTGCGCGGTGCCGCCTGGACAGCCACCCAGGGCCGCATGGAGGCGCTCGGATCGAGCGCCACGAGCGGATTTTGTTTTTCCAAAAAATGCGTCGCGTGTTCGCCTCGTGGCTGGTTTTGGTGGGGAGTTGATTGATTGGTTGGTTGCTTGCTTGCTTGCTTGCTTGATTGATTGATTGATTGATTGATTGATTGATTGATTGATTGATTGATTGATTAATTAATTGATTGGGTTGGTTGGTCGGTCGGTCGGTCGGTCGGTCGGTCGGTCGGTCGGTCGGTTATTTGGTTGGCTGGCTGGCTTGTCTGTTCAGCGGTTAGTTGTTTGATGTATTGATTGGTTGATTGATCGACGTGTTGGTTAGTTGGCATCATTTATGGATGGTGGGAGACTGGATTTTTTTTGCAACGGGACACCAAAGGGCATGCTTTCATTGGGGGGAAACAACATGTAGGGGTTGATCAATATTCCAGTCGCTCCTAAATGGCCATGTGTAACTTTTCCCATGTTGAAATATCGTGGTGGTGTTCCAACCAATGATCATCCTATGTATTTCAGGCCTTTCATCAACCCACATGTCTTTTTTCAAGAAGCAACTTTTGGGGACGCCGTTTGGGGGAACCTTATCGAGGGAGGCCTTTCAACTGATATTCGTGACCGAAACACTTTCAACCATTCTTATTTCTAAGTGGATTCCGGCAAACAATCATGACGTTGGGTGCAAGACTTTGCTTGGGAAAAAGGGCTATCTTTGGGGTGGTTTGCAAGGGATGCCGAAGACCCAAAACCGCATGCGTTCCGAAGCTTTTTGTGTTTTGCACAGGGCCGACTTCTTTTGGGCCTGCCAACCATAGATGGCGCTGGCTGATGGATCCCTTTTTGGGTTTCATGCCCGTTTGATGGTGCTTGATGGCCGGCGGGGGGAGGGGGTTGGGCTGGGGGTGGGGCTGGGCCTGTTGGGGGACCCATTTGGGTGTGTCCTTTTTTTTTTATATTCTTCTTTTTCTTTTTCCGGAGTTGGTACCCTTTTTTGGTGGTTTTAAAGGGAAACCAGTAGGACAACAACCTTGTTTTTCGTCGGGGGGACGTCCCGTAAAGGGAATAGTATGTAACATTTGTTAAATTCATCAAAATCCTGCACTTTGACAAAGGTGGCCAGTATTTGTTTGATTGAAATCATTTTATTCATTAAACTACTTTAATGAATTTAGTTTTATTCAATCAAAAAAGGCTCCAAAATGATTAAATTCATCAAACTCATTAACATATTTGAATGAATGTAATCGAAAAAGGCTCCAAAACAACTAAATTCATTAAATTCGTGAAATCATTAAAATCCCAGACTTTGCCAAGAGTGGCCACCATTTTTTGATTACCTTCATGAAATTCATCAAATTGTTTGAATACGTTGACATATTTTGATGAATTTGATGATTTTAATTGAAAAAAGGCCCCAAAACGGTTGAATTCGTGAAGTGCATTAAAATCCTAGACTTTGACAAGAGTGGCCTCCATTTGTTTGATTACATTCATTAAATTCATCAAATTCTTTAGATTCATTGCCATATTTTGATGAATTTGATGAATTTACTCGAACAAAGGCTTCAAAACGATTGAGCTCATCAAATTCATTAAACCTATTTTATTGCGTATCTCAAGGAAGTCCACTATGACAGCGTTCATGAGAGGTGGAGGTCGCATGGGCGTGGAGGGCTCCTGCTGTCCGGGCTTCGGACGAGGGACCTGCTGGATGGATTTCTCGGAGACGGCTTTCCAGGTGGCCAATCAGTACAAGGGCTCGTTTTTTTTCAATTTGATGGACTGCAGCAGACGGAAAGCCGGAAATGGAAGCCGACATGGTACGGCAAGGGTAAAATGATGAGCATGGTCGCCACGTCCGCTGGCATGGTGCATGACTTGAACGCCGAGCCCGGATGGAGCGGTACTCCTGTCTTCAAGATGGGACCCGATGGATTGCCAGCCTTGACAGGCGTGCGTCTGTTGCCAGGAGGGTGGACTTTTTGAGTTGCTGGCAACATGGTAGCGTTAACAGATTGAACGTGCACATGGTTGTTTTGTCTGGTTTCCTTGCAAAAATGCGGGCCGTCAAATGTTACATATCAGTCCCTGCCACGGGGGAGTACCATGAGCATTTCTCCCACCAAGTGACCATATGGCCATGGTTCAAAGCAAATGGTACCATTTTGGGATAGGTGCACCACCCATTTTAGAACCTATTTTAGTGGGGATTGGTTGATGTAAACTGGGGGTACGATTTGGGTTTTGACCCATGGCCACAAGTATTTCGCCCACCAAGTGACCCTGTCGCAACATTTTCTGGCCGATCCGGCTCGGATGGATGAGCAATGAAGAGATTGGACGCGGGGTGAGACCTGAGGTACCATGGAACGCTTGGATTTACAAACTTGGGGATGAACTTCAATGAGTCCCGGACTCAACATGGTGGGGTGGTTCCCTCTTAAAGTTTATGATGTCATTTCGGTGATGGCAAAAGGACCGGACCTGCTTTGAAGCCAAGCAGAGATGTGAGCAAAGGTCAATATATACTGTTTTGTGAAGGGTATGAAATGGGCACACTCGCCAAATGGACATTATTCCCAGAGCTTCCTCTGCAATTGGTGTTTCCATGTTAATCTGAGGAGATGGGGCCCAGTACACAATGAACATTGACCGTGGCTGAATGTTGGTATCATCGAACATGTGATTTTGCACATGGGAACATCCGAACGTTGGCTGCGAGTGTCAAACGGGTGGGTTGAAAGGGAGCCAAACAGAAACCACCCATTTTGGGGGCGCCATATCTTATTTGGCGCACACATACACATATTTCTTTTAAATGGTAGACCCCTTTTTGGGGGGTTTTGACGGGAACCAACAGAAAAACCATCATTTTGCGGTTCCTTTTGAGAACACCCCCTATGTATATACACATATATATATATATATATGTACACATATCTGTGTATATATATATATATATCTATATACACATGCACCCAAGTCATAGCTTGTTCTTTCAGATTTCGGGCTTGGCCCGATCTCTCTACCGGGTTTCTTCCGAGCAGTGAGAAACCTCAACGGGTTGATGAGTCAAAGACAGCATGACTGTGCAACCAAAATGGGTATGTGCCAAAATAAGGATTTGGACCCCAAATGGATGGTTTTTCCTTTGGCTTCCCTGAAAAAACGATCTAAAAAAAGTACCCTTATGGGTCGATGTTCACACAATACGGGCTGTCCTGTTTTGAGGATGCCGTTTGAAAGGGAAACCAGAAGGATAACACGCACTTTGCGATGTTTTTTGGTTTTAAAGGGAAGCCACAAGGAAAACCGACGCTGTTTTGGGATGTCCAAATTCTAGAAACGCGACACCCACATCCTATTTTGAGGTGCAGTCTGCAGTTTTCTTCTGCGCGAGCCAGTCGTCTCACTCCACAGAGCCCACAGCGCATCGACCAGATCTGACCTTTTGGTTTTCCAGTTGCAACCATTGTTCGTCGCCCCAGGCGATCAATAATCATCTTCCTTCCATTTTCCCAATTTCGGACGCCATCCATTCGACCCGCACAGAGCCGCAGTTGTTTTCTTTTCGCGTTTTTCCGGCCCGGCCACTCACCGGAGCGCTGCCCTCGCCCGCCTCGACCGCCCGCTTTCGGCTTCCCCCTGCCGCCTGTCGCTTCCTGGGCTCCCGGTGGCTGACCTCGCTCGCTCGCCAGGCCCCGGAGTCCGAGAAGGTGGTGCAGGTCAAGATGCCGGGGGCCCTGGGCCAGGGAAATGGACCCAGCAAAACGTGAACAATTAGAACGGTGTCGTGGGGTACTTTAAAGCCAAATCAAGCCATGAACATAAGAGAAGGATGTGTGTAATTACCGATTCCAACATGTTTTGCTTCATGCATCCAAGAATGGGACACCTCACTTCTGGTAGTGTTCACTTTTTTGGAGTTGCCCTCCAAGTGAAAAGGGGGCGCTCAATTTTTAGGAACTCGAGGTAGGCATTTGATGTACACAGCCCCCGTCTATGGCTTCCCCACCCCTAGGGCCTGAATGAATCGCTTTGTAGCCACTCAAAGGGATAGCCTCCCACCAGCTAACATGGAAGTGCAAAAAGGCCCTTTCCAAGAGGAAAGTCGTTTGTCAGGGGTCTGTGCACTTCCATGTTAGCTGGTGGGAGGGTAATCAGGGTACTGGTTTGGGGGTAGTGGACATCATAGATTGTTGGAGGCAGAAAAGGTCCTAGTGGGGGATACACAACCACACAAAAAAGCCACGGTGTAAAGTGTGTTGACCCCTGTCCAATCGATCGTTCAAGGCTGCGGTGTTTTCTGTCACCTCAGGTACGTGGAGGCAGTGGACATGATCGGAGACCTCACCAGGCCGAGGGGGGGGGGGGGCCCTTGGATAGTGTACATCTATCTATAGAGATTGATCAATAGAATAGATCGCTAGACAGATAGGCAGATAGACAGGTAGATAGGTAGATAGGTAGATAGGTAGATCGCTAGACAGATAGATGGACAGATGGACAGATGGACAGATGGACAGATGGACAGATGGACAGATAGACAGATAGACAGATAGACAGATAGAGACAGACAGATAGACAGATATAGACAGACAGATAGACAGATATACATATATATATATATATATACATATACATACACATGTGACACGCACACACACAATACAGATGTGACATGTGACACGCGCACACACACACATACACACGTGTGTATATATATATATATATATATATAAATAAATAGTTCCCTGGGACTCGGTCCCTGAAGAGATCGCGACAAAATCGGCTGCGAACATTGGGCATGCGCAGGATCCATGTGCTGCAGGGCATGCCTCGCAGTTTCTTTGGCGCGAGCCTTTCATTATAAAGCATGCTCGGAGCAACTCTCTTGTCACCCCGGGATTTCCACCTTGCGGTTGGAAAAGGTTCACGTGCGCGTGACAAGGGGCGGGAGGGGTCTCGTGGTTGAAAGAATCGGGTCTTGCCGTTTCGGGAGTTTTTCAGGAGGCCTTTCCCAACCTTCATAGCCGTCTTAGCAGAATCAAAAGTCAGCTTGGGTTTTGGGCACTGCTCACATGTGAACATTTTAAGTCATGTCTTTGGCCGATGAACTCCCCTGAAAATTACAATGGTTAAGGCTCCTGCTTGGCCAGGTGGTCACATCCATACCTGTTAACCTCAAGTAAAGGAACCGGTCGAAACGACCATGGCACAGGGCGTGTCTCTTTTTTTGATGGCGCCGGGCGGGGATTCTTGCCGCAGCCCACCTGCGTCTTTTGTTGAGTTGGTCCCCCCCCTTGGATTTTGGGTGGGTTTGAAATGGAACACCCAACCCCAGGCACGATTTTTTTGGGGCCCCTCAAGAACTTGCTGGATCGTAGCAGGACATGAACAGTGGAATGATCCTCCCCGATTTTGTTTCGTTGAAGGGAATCCCCAAAACCAGTTCATTCCCAAGAATCCGGACTCGTTGTCATTCCTTCCCTAGCTATCGCAGCCAGCAAGTCCTAGTTCACAGATTCCTATTTTGACCTGGAGGGTACTCTTCATGGAGAAAGAACACGTTGTTTGACATATCAGGGGAGGCAAGCAACCCACCAATTCAGGGAAACCCAACAATGAAGTGGGTTACCCAACACCAGTTCAGGGTCATCCATTTGTTTGACAATTCAAGGTGACCCAAGAAATGGGTGTGTCGTGGGGTACTTCCCATGGAACCATGAAAAGCAAGTCGCCATGGGGACAAGAATAGTTGCCATGGACAGCCAAGAAGCTACTTCCAAGGTTCCTAGGTCCCTGATGGTCATGTCAAAAGGTCAAAAGCTTCCTGGATGCCAGGTTCCTGGTTCTACTTCTCCTGGAAACCTTCACGGCCCTACCCCACGGGTTGCGCGTGGGGCGCCGCGTCGGCGACTCGTCGGCAGGTCCATCCAGGGCCGCGCGGCGGAGCCGTCCGAGCAGCTGGATGCGCCCTGGCGCAGCCAGACGCTGGACCGGGGGGTCTTGGAGCGGGGGAAGAAGAGCTTCTTTGGGTGGGCGGAGCTCCGGTGGTAAGGTGGTGGAGCTGCTGGGAGTTAGTTTTTTTTTGGGGGGGAGGGGGGTGCCAAATATGGCTTTTTGGCTGTTTTTTTTTTGTGCGGGGTAGCAACAAAAAGGCTTTTTGGGGAGTTGCAACCCAGAACTGTCGGCTGGGGCTTTGTAGAACGTTGAGAGTGTTTGCGTGTTGTCCGTTTGGTTGGTTTAAAGGGACAGCAAAAGGAGTCATATATCACGGTGGACCTCCCTTCGACATATGTTGCCATGTCTGCCAAGTGATGAGGGTCCAGTCATGAAACGAGATAAGCAGTACAACAAACAAATGCACACCGAGGCTCAGTGACGATTGATTGGGTCGAATGGGAGAGCATGTCAGGTCATGTGGACATGTTGGTTTGCAGGTTTCTACTCTTTGTACTTTTGGGGAATTGACTGGCCTTGGGATTGGATGGCTGTGAGCAGCCACTTCGGTATCACAGAAAGGCTTGGCAGCCGCAAACTTGGCTGCAGGTTGGCCAGTTTCCCTTGTCGGTTTCCTGGGGGTACCACGAGCCTCAATAAAGGGACGAGCCGCCCTTGTGGGCCAATTCGGGGCACCTATTGCCGTTGACGGTTTCCAGGGGCTGCGCAAGTCAGATGGGGTGCCACACTTTCCAGATTCGAAGGAACCGCCGGCATCGCGGCTCTCGGGGTTTCCGGCGATTCCATTTCGAGCTTCGCTCTCAGCTTCAGGCCATGAGTCGGTTCGGGGTGACTTGTTTCAGGCTTTGGAGGTCGCAGATGTTGGATAGAGCGATGCGCCGGAGGAAGGTTAGGGCCCTCAACAAGACCTTTTGCTTTTCAGGGGACAGACACCGGGGCCAGAAACCGCCCTCCTTTCGGATAGATCCTTTAAGGGTTGACCCTTCGACTTGGGCTCCAATTGTGATGGCCGGGTCCCGTTCCGTAGGGTTCTATGGCAACAAGAGGGTACCAACGCAAAACACGTCGAACTGCTTGGCTCCTGTTTTTCTTAAGGCCCTTCAGGCGCGACTTGGCTCAGTTTCGAGTCGAAACCAGGAGCATTGCCACTACTTTGTGGTGCTGCAGACAGACAAAGGCGGGCCCTGCCAGACCCGGTTTTGGGACATCGGCCTTGTGCAGATCAAACATGCATTGTTCTTGGAATCTTACAAATCATCCTGGACCGGAGGAGGACCATGTGATGGATCATGTCTTGTAGTTTTCCGGTGGATGGGATGTAATTTGGTCCCCCCTTCTCATGTGGCTTGTGCAAAGAACAAAGACACATTCCGTTCCATCTGCGGTTCCCGCGGCCCGGAAACCGAGACTTGCCCTTCTGGGCAAAAGCCCACAGACCAATTTGTGGGTTGCTTCCTTTTTCAAACTTACTGTAAAACTAACTGTAAAACTAACTGCCCCCCCCCCCCCGCCCCCCAACAAAAAAGGAGTGTGCGGGGCTGCTCGTTGGGTTGCTCTCTTCTCACGGACCCTTTGTACATGGACCTTGCTGGACCTTGCCATGGAAAGGGAGTCAGAGCATCCGGCTTTTTGTTGTGCAAAAGCCTACCCTCAGACATCGGCTTCCCTCCATTTGGTGGTTTGGAGCCGAATCGGTGGTTTGATGGTTCAGGAGGGGTTTCCCGTTTGCCCTCCTCAGGAAGCTGGAGGCTCAAATTGTTCAAGCCACCAATCGAAACCACCAATGAGAGGGAAGCTGAAGACAGCTGTGTCTCTTTTCGAGGTTGGCCCTTGTGATTCTGGAGGGAAACCAAGAGGATACCAGCGATTATTTAAACTTCCCTTGGAAGTGCGGGACGTGCCTCGCGTCGCCGCCCATGTGTTTTTGCCTTTCCGGTCGACCTGAAGTTGGTGCAGGTGCTCCAACCCAGCTTTGCTTTCCCTCCCAAGCATTTTGTTCCGCAAGTTTTGTTTTGAGGGGGTCCTTACTTTGGGCGTTTTTGTTGCTGGGGCTGTTTTTTTGTTTGCTAGGGCTGGTCTCCCAGTTGCTTGGTTGGTGGTTGGTTGGCTGGCCGCATCCCCGGCATCACCAGCCTCACTTCCTATTGGCTCTGATTGGGAGGCAGTTGAGAGTGGCTGGGGGCTGGTTTCAGTCAGACGGGATTCAGGCTGGCTTAGATCTTCATGAGGGTGGGTCTTGGGGCGGTTTGGGGTTGATTTAGGTGGGTTTGGGTTGGCTTGGAGCTGATTTGTGTTAGGTGTGTGGTGGTTTAGCAGCGGCTTTAGGTTTGCTTTTGGGGTATGTTTAAGTGAGTTTTAATCTCGTTTAGGATTGGCTTTGGAGCGTTGCCGCAAACCAGCAAAACTAGCCCACAACTCATGTGACCACATCCCTAAAGCAACCCTGAAGGCACCCCAACACGGATCAGTCCTAAGCCAGCCCCAAATCCACCCAAAGTCAACCCTGAACCCGCTCAACAGCAGACAGAATTTGCTCAAAATCACTGAACACACATGACCGGAACCGCTCAGCAGACAGAATTTGCTCAAACTGAGCGGGGCCCAAAATTGTTGGACTGATTCTTAGCACCATTGGTTTTGATCCTGCGGTGCGGATGGACAAACACATCCACCGTACCAAGCTGGTCGAAAAGTATTCACAGGGTTTCAGCTGGAAGGATTTTGTCCATGTCTGTCAAGGTCCGAGACAGTATTTGGCCTTCTTGGGTTGGCTGGAAGGGAAGCCAAAGTGGAGCCAACCATTTTTTTGGGGGGCTACTTTGACAGGAGAAGTTACCCAAAAAAGCAAACCTCAGACTCTCTGACAGGTTCCATTTCGTTCTCTGCAGGTGCCCCCCTTTTGGGTGCCTTTTTGAGGGCACCTGAATGGCTGGGTTCCCCTGCTGGTTTCGCGATTGGATATTTTTAAGACCCGTTCCAATCGAATTGTACTGTGGATGGACGAATCCATGTCGACCATCTTTCAAGAACCCAACGGAATGATTCAATTCCCCTGCAAATACCAACAGAACGGTAAGGTTTCAACCATAGCTTCATTCCGTGGTGCCTAAGCGGATTTCGATTTCAACCATCCACGGTATGAACAACATTTTTAGGTGGGTTTCAAAAAGGCGAGCCACCCAGTCGATGGCAGTTGCACCCGGGGGTATCTCGCGTCAGACACGGGTCGCCGCTCTTGAGCATAGGTGTCCTTATTGGTTGTTTTGGTAGAAAAATAGATGGCCCTGGTTTACCTGGTGGTTTTATCATCTACCAGGGAAACCCATCCATTTCCCCTAAAAGGTCACCTATGCTTTTGCGACGGTCCCCCGCGCTTTTTTTTTCAGGCACCGTGCTGGTCACGGAGAAGCTGCGGGACGGCTCTGTGCGGATGACGGACGCGGCTACTTGGCTGGGCGGGTTTGGTGGCCGGGCGGGTGGCGTTGTGCGGGTCTTGGGTCGATTTGTGCGTGGGGTTCAGGAGATGATCTACCCCTTTTCCAGTTTTTGTTGAGCTTTTGTCTTCTTTTTCCCCTAACAGCTGAAAGCTTTGGGGTCTCAGCGGGGCGGCCCTGAGGCAAGGTTCCACAAGGGTTCCACCAGGGTTCCACTGCGCGGGTGGTCCGGGGTGGTTTGAGGTAAGGTTCCATGAGGGTTTCACCAGGGTTCCACCAGGTTTCCACGAGGTTCTGCGAGGCCTGCGGGATGGTCCGGGGCGTCTCTGAGGTAAGGCTCCACAGAGTTCCACAAGGATACCACAAGGCTTCCACAAAGCTCCACAAGGTTCCACAAGAATTCCACACATATTCTACAAGGTTCCGTGGTTTGCCCTGGAGGGAAGCAAGTCGTGCGCCCGCCGTCTGAAAGGCCATCGGAGCAGTAAATTGAGGGCTCACAAGATCGCACTGCTCATGGGCGGAACACTAAGCAAAACCGAAATCAATGGTTCTCAGCACACTTTCACTGTTCAACGCGGCCCGATATTCGGGCTTTGTGGCAAATCAGGTCGCGTTGCTGAGGGACTCAGTGTGCAGCAGAGTAAATGCTTGGCATTGCTGAGTATTACTTGGTGGGCTTTGGGTTCCAAGGGTTCCACAAGGCTGCGAGGGCTACGGGGTAAGGTTCCAAAAGCGCTCTACAAGGTTTCCACCAGGTTCTGCAAAAGCTATGGGGCAGCCCTGAGGAAAAGTTCCAACTCAGTTTCACGAGGTTCACCGGGCCCAATCGGGCCCCGTCAGCCAGCCGTACCTGCCAAGCTCGCATCGCCTAGTTTTGCTAGATACAGTGGTAAGGCCACATCCTAAAGGAAAACCGGCGTTGAGCAGAATATTGGTGGCTGGGCTTTCGCGCCACGGGACCATCGGGCCCCGGTCGGGGCCCCGCTCAGGCCCACATTTCACTGTCGGGCCCCCGACCAGGGCGCGATTGCGCTGTCACTCTTAGCTATTCTTTACAAAGTTACAAGGCGACGTCCTCAGCAAGACCGGCGAGCGTCGAGCCTCGGCCGGGCTCGATCGGCCAGCAAAGGAAGGCGGCAATGAGCAACTGGGATTGGTTGGCCTGCAGGGCCCGCTTGCAGTTGGGCCGGATTGCAGCGTCGAGCGCAGGGGGGCTTCAAGGGTGCTTGAAGGCGGCCTTCGGTCGAGGACCTTCGACCTTTGCTGAAGGTGGCTGAAGCCCTTCGACAGCCCCCCTTCGAAGCCCTTGAAGGTTGAAGGGCGGCTTTGATCGGGGCCCGAAGGCGCAAACCCCAGGCCACTGCAACAAGCAAAGCTGGGCAATGAGCAAAGCTGGCCGATGCTAGCTTGATACAGCCTGACGGGTCCGACAGAGGCTGCGCCGTCGGGCCTCGGCCGGGTGCACCGTCGGGCCTCGCGCAGAACCAGATTGCACCGTCGCTGTTCGGACGAGGTGCGTGCGGGCGCCTGCAGAGCCTTGTGATGCAAGCGCGCGCGTCAACTCCAGCCACCCATAGCCCACCGCCGGCTTTGCGGGGCGCGACCAAGGCTTGACAGTCCAATCGGGCAATGTTCCCTTAACCACGGAGGTCGTGAGAAAATTGCCGACCCACAAAAGGTGGCAAAAAGACCCCCCTGCCCTTAACTGGTTGGTGAAGCTTGGGCTGTTTGCTGCCCAGATAGGCCTTGGGGTAGTCTGGGGCGGCTCTGAGGTAAGGTTCTGCAAGGGTTCAGAGTTTTGCAAAAGCTGTGCGAAGGTTCCGGGGTAGTCCGCGGCGGGTTCTGCGAGGATTCTGGGAGGGTGTGATGCTGTTGGGGCTATCGCCTGAGCTTTTTTCTTTTTTCTTTGGGGGGGGGGAGGGTGTGGTTTGCAGGTTTGAAAGGGGCTGGTTTTTTTGTGGTGTGTGTGTGTGTGGGGAGGGTGGTTTGCAGGCTTGAAAGCGGCTGCTCTTTGTTTGGCTGGGGGGGGGGGGAAGTAGCAACTAAGTGGACGCTTGAAGTGATACCCTTTGTGGGTGGACTAAACTACCTTTTAGTTGCCAAATTCTAATATAGACATGTCGGTATTTGTCCAAACGGTGATGCTTCCAAGTGAGCGCCCAACCACTTCATTGGCCTGCAGAGTAGGTATTTCTAGTTTGTGGTTTCATGGGAATATAGCAAGGGCCAGTATTAAACTTGGACCATGCTCTATCATGAACAGGTTTTAGGCGCTGCTCAAGTGGGCCGCTGCTCAAACGAGCTCTGAAGGATGTAGAATCCGCCGATGCAAGCTCGGCTGCTATTTGGTGGGATCTTTGGCCTTTAGCCAAGAACCAGGTAAATTCAGGTTTCCCTTATTTTGTTTGGATTCGTCGGAGGTGTTCCGGGGGTAGCTTCCCATCCTCAACAAGAACCAGGGACCCGTTCAAATCCAACTCCAAACCACTGATCCAAACCTCCTATCAGGCGATCAGGCAGCCCTGAGTTTGTGTTTCGTCCTGGTTGGGGGTAAAGGAACCCCAGCTCGTTTCGAGGTTCCCAACCCAGGGGATTTTTTTTTAGCACCCCTATCCAAACTTTTTCAAGCAGGGGTTTTAGCACCCCGATCCAAGGTACTCAGCCACCAACCTAGGGGGCCAAAAGGAAAAGGACACTTTGGAGGCGCGAGGCCACCGAAGAAAAAAAGGATCTTCCGCCGAGGAGAACGCCGAGGAGCGGATCTCCTTGGCGAGGCTGCTGTACACCCATTCCTGCAAGGACGACCTGCGAAATTGCCTCGGAATCTTCCGAATCGCTCGAATTTTTCCGGTTGAAATCGGAACGGCGAAGGCTTTTTTTGAGTGCTGTGCGTTTTTGTTGCCCCCTCCTTCTCCATGTGTGGTTTTGAGGGTGACCAAGCTTTTGGGGTCAAACAAAACCAAACAAAGACAACCATTCTAGGTCGAAGAATGACAAGCTCAGGCTTCTGTTCGCGCTGGCCATTTTGCATGCTGGCTTTTGGTTCGTTCTTCTCGGAGCTTCTTCGCTCTCCAGTTCCGCTCGCGTCCCGGTTTGATTCATGTGGCTCATTTTTCAAGGGTACCGGTTTGGGTCAAGTTGCGTAGTTATTTGTCTCAAAACTGGTTGGATCCAACCAAAATTTGTTGGCATGAGTTTTCCCTCAAGCCAGAAACGCACTTTTATTTGTGTATACGTATGTGTATATATATATATATATATTACGTATGTTTATCAAAATGGTCGGAGTTGGAACCTGAAAAGCGGTGGGCGGCCGTCCGCGATTGAAATTCAGACCACTTGGGAAGGTTTGCAGCTGTTTTCCATGTTCCATTTAACACACATCGACATCCACAACAACAGGTGACAAGCTCCTTGAAGGTTCCCCCTGCTGGAAGTGCACAGGCTCGCTTTCCAAGAGTGTTTTTCTTGCCATCTCTCTTACCTCGGTCCATGTTTATGAGGGTACAGGGAGATCAAGAGGACCAGCCAGTTTGGGGACCTGATTTTGTTGAGCTGATTTGTGGGGACCTCTCCTGAAAAGAAAAAGAACCCCCCCCAGTGATTTGGTTTGGTGGTTTGGAGGCGTCAGGCGTTCCATTGGTTTCAGCGGGTTTCGGTTCAAATCCCACCGAGCTCAGGGAATCAGCGCAACCAAAGCCAGAAGGTGAGCCTCTAAACATCGGTGATCCCGCGCCAGGATCGGCAACATTTTCAGGATTCGGACCCTGCAACATGGCGCACCGGGTTTTCCTCTTGGTTTCCCTAAAACCAAGCAAAAAGGGTTCCCCCCCAAAAAAAGAAGAAGAGAGAGATCATGTTTTTGGTTACAACGGCACATGTGTCCACGCCTTGACCGCAAACTGTCAGGGAAACAAAGTATATGCTCTTGATGGAGGTTTTCTGTAAAAAGACAGATTTGGACCTCAAAACTGGTTTATCTTTTCACAGGCAAGTACCGGGCCACCCCAGCTGGACTGCTTCGGACAGTGCAGGGCGATATGGCAACGCTGCAGTTGGTTGTGGGGCTGCCAGAAGCAGCTCGGACGATCTTGAGCAACGTGCAGCACGTGTCATCCGGCATTCCGGGCGCGCTGGAGGGGCGACAAGTGATGCGGCTTGAAACACATGCCTACCGAGTGGTCTACGGAGAGCCGATCTTCGTGACGGTGACGCCGAGGGAACGCGGCTACTTGAATGGCCGCAGAGGGGACCACCCAAGAAAAGGTTCACCTATATGGCGTTCATGTTGTATCGTTTTTGGAAACATGTGGACTTCTGCATTTTTTCAGTCCACATAGGCTCGAAGGGGGGAAGGGTGTGTTTCGCATGGTTGGAAGTAACATTTCCCCTTTCAAATCCATGTAGGCAACCATGCCCTTCCTTCCCTTCCCCTTCTCCCACCATATAAAGGATTTGTTGCCCCATTTTCGCTTGGGTTGTGCTTTGGGGGAAGCGAACACTCTGATTCCAGATTTCCCCTCCCACTCCATTGTCCACCCCCTTACCCTCCAAACCCCTCCAAACCCTTCCAAACCCCTCCAAACCCCTCCAAACCCCTCCAAACCCCTCCAACCTCTCCTCCAAACCCCTCCAACCCCCTCAAAACCAACCCTCCCCCCCCCATCCCCCAACTCCATCCCCCAACTCCATCCCCCACTCCATCCCCCCACTCCATCCCCCCACCCCCCCCACTCTCCCCACTCCACAGGAGGCCGCTGTGGCGCTCAAGGAGGTCCGCGTCTTCCAGGCCGCCTCCGCGCGCGCCACTGCCCAGGGCGCCAAGGCTTCCGACGCCAAGCTCTACGCCCGACGCCTTGGGGGGGTGGGGGGGGGGGGATGGGCGGAAGGGGGGGATGGGGCGGAAGGGGGGGCGGGGTGGAGGGCTTCGGCGGCTCGATTTTTTTTTTTTTAATACTACAAATAGACAATAAAAACAATAGGGTACTGTACTCGCTTGGTTGGTGCACTTAAAGGAAAACCAAAACCTCCATTTGCTTAAGTCCCCTGTAAAAAAACAAAAATATGTCCAGTAGTGATAGATTCCCTTTAAAACCAACAGGCGAAAATCAAAATATGTTTAACCAAATGGAAGAAAAGGACAAAACCGCCCTTTTCGGGGGTCCAAGTCCTAGACGAGCCGCCCATTTGGGTGATGCCATGTTTGGAGCCCCTCCCCTCCACTCCCCTGCAACGAGGAAATCAAACCACCAAACCATTGTGATCCAAACCAGGGAACCCCGCCACCAAACTTGTGGTTCTCCTTTTGGTGTCCCCCCCCCACACAAAAAATATCTCAAAGAAAGACCAACGCAAGTTACACCTTACTTAGGACCCGGTGGTTTGCAGCGGTTTGATGTTGATTGCCACACCCCCAACACGGGTTACAAAACTCCCTTTGCTAAGACTCTGTTTGTTTTTGTTGGCAGTGATTTGTTAAAGACGACACCGCCAATTCGTTTGGCCCAAGGGTCAAAAGCACTGGCAATTTTAGTGAAAAGGTGTTACTTCCTGGCTTCATGGGGTTGTGGTTATATAAATCTGCATGATCTTGTTGGTAGAACGAACAGTCTCCATGACTTTTGGTTTCCCTGAGCTGCATTGAGAGGGGAGCTGGTTGGGTACATGAAGAGTTAGTCGGCATGCGAAAGAAACTCGGGCCAATTCACGAAAACTCGGCACGACAGGGGGGGGGTCCGATTCCGAGACTAGCATCCTCCCTGTTCAACTTTTAGCGGTCTCGTTGAGAAAAGGCACCGTCAATCGAATTCACTCCCAAAAGAAGAAAACAAAAAACGGGGCTTGAGACCAAGTGTCAACCCAAAAGTTTGGACTTTTCTTGGCCAATCCACTCGGGACCTGTGCCAGCACAGCCTCCCCCCCCCCCTCTGGCAGCCTTGGCACCACCACATGCCGCCCTCGAAGACGCCGAGGCCCGGAACCTTTTCAAACTCGCCTCCGGCAAGGCTTGGCACGGGCCGAAACGAAAGTCTACAAGGGGGAAGTTGGGGGAAAAATACCCGATATGCGCAAACGCGAGGGAGTTCGATGGACGCGACTGTCACGTCTTTTTTTCGGCAGAACTGAAGCAACCCAACCCATAGGCGCGGCGTTTGGCGAGCTTCGAGGGAGCCTTTTCTTTTCACAGCCTGTGTTGGTCTGCAGGGAGTCGCGACCGGATCGGGCCGTTTTCGAGGAAGGTAGCAGCACGAATGACCTTTAGAGGAGCTCCCAGAGGTAAGCTCGACACGAGGAGATGGTTGACTTGGGCATGTGTCCAAACCAGGACCAGCAAAGCTCAGCAACTCATAGTTCCTCAATGGGCTATGAATTCTCAAAAGGGACCACCAACCTAGAGGTGTTTGGGCATGACTCCCCAAACTTGGGACTTCTGTCCATTTGGCGCCTCCCATTCAGCTTAGAGCCCTCCTAGAGCTTCTCGCAACGAATTTTTCTGGGAGTTTCCGCGGTCCGTTTTTTGCTTTTCGCTGTACGGAGCCATCGAGGGTCCAATCCCATTGGAGAAGCCGAGAAGCCGAGAAGCCAACATGGCTCATGGCTCATGCCTTCTTTGGAGACCAAGCTGCTGTTTCGTGATCTTACGGGCGTGGGTGTCGGAGCTTGGGAACGGGTCCCAGAGCTTATTGCCGAGTGGACCCTTTGGAGCCTTCATGCTTGCATAGCAAGAAGGCTCCTCAGGACGGATGGATGGCTTGAAGGCAGCGGACCATTCGACTTCCCAAAGACAAGCCCTGCCTACTCCAAGGAACACCGTTTTGGGTCCGAGAATCGAGAATTCCTTGCGGGCGGGTGAAAAGAGACCTAAAGGGAAAGTCTGTAGGTGTCCTTGTGACCATGGATTCGGCATGAGATTAGTGCTATGGCAGTGGAGCCCATCCCTTTTTCCAAAAAGAGGGAGACTACCACTGAGACCCTCTTTGTGAATGATGTCAACTGAGTAAAACAGGCAGTCAACCCCTGCAATTGAACCCGGCAGCTCTTGAACTGTTGTTTTTTGTGGGTTCCATGTAAATCTGCAAACGCTACTCACTCCCTGTTGACTTCTTGGGGAATTATTTTGGCCAAGAAGTTTGGACATGTTCGGCCAGTCCACTCAGATGTCAGGGGCCCTGAACCAAAAAGTCCGATGCGTCGGAGTGAAAAATCCTCAGGCGTGGCTGGTGCGCAAGTCCAAGGGAGCAGGTGCCGGGGGCGGATGGATGTGTCCGGGAGGCAGGGGTCAAATTTGGGACTCATTCTGCGTCAAGCCCTGGGACATTCTTACATCTTTGCCCACTAGTTTGACAGAGCTCCTCGCGGCCACGTTTTTTGGCAAGCTGAGAGGCTCAAACAGAAGGGTGGCTGGAAAAAACCACTGGCCCAATCGAGAAGATTGAAGCATGTTTTTTTTAAAACACATGGTTGAGCAGGCACTTTTCTAGGGGTTGATTCTTCATTCTTTTCAAGCATCGTTCTTTTCAAAAGCCAGTCGTTTCCCCTGGGTTCTTGATGGTTTCCTGAAAAGAAGGATCCCTGGAAAGAATGGAAATGTAAGGTACCCCTACAACTTCGCCCTTTCCCCGCATTCCAGGTGAACGCCGCCTAATTTTGTTGGAGTGCCAGAGCCTCCAAAGGTGCTTCGATGGGGCCCCGACAAAGGCTTGCCCGCCTTTTTGTTCTGGCTGTCGTTTTTTTGTGGTGGACGGGGTTTACCGAACTTCCACTTCCTTGTCACTTCCGGTTGGCAACCTGTAAACCAAAAGACATGCCTTTAGCCCTTTATATATGGGTGGCTCGTGGTCCGCCCCTCCCCCCTTGGCCCTTTGTATATGGGTGGCTTGTCTTCTTTAGGTTGGACCCCACCAAAATGGCGCAGCAGCTTTCCTTTCGTTTCGCTACAACAGCTACACAAATGGGGTGCCCTCAAACAAGACCCATGTGAGCGTGTCCAGCGTTCTGGGAAACCACATGTTGCAGATACTCTCAGATGGAACCAGAGCACATCTGAAGTTCGGACCCCTCTTCATGGTTGTTGTGGGGAAGCATTTTTCCCATTTTTGCTTCTTGTTGTTGAGTGGTTGAAATCCAACCACCTAACTGCTAAGATTTAAACAAGAATTGTTGCTCCCCTTCCAACGTCAACCAAGTTCTTTCAGGTTCCTGTTCGCTAGCTTGAATCCCCACCTGACCCAGTCACACGGATCACAATCGACAGAAGACCATGGCTAACGCAAAGGCCACGGGCAGCATGTGTGTCAGACACCCCAGCGGCGCCAAGACTTTTTTTTTGATTCTTTTTTTTTTTTTCTGGTAGGGGTGTCCTTTTTATCTTTTGCTCACTTGCAAAGCGACTCGGCCTTGGCGCTGAAGGTATCCCCGCGCTTGGCAGGTTTCCCAGGCCGCGATCACCTTTGCCTGGTTCCGAACTGGGCAAGTGAGCTCCAAGAAGGGCTCCTCCGTTGTCTTTGTTTTCGGATGGCTCCCACAGAATGGCTTCGTTCTTTTTCCCTTCTTGGTGTCTTTTTTCTTTTTATTTGACAAGCCAAAAAAACAGGGGGGAGCCACTTGGCTTCCCTGAAAAGCGTCGCCACCAAAACAGGGGTACCCCCTCAAAGAAAAGCCGCACCCTTAACACAAAGGCAAACAACAACGCACCCCACATCACTCCGAGAAAAAAAAAAAAAAAAACGAAGACGAGCTGCTTCGGTGCCTTGGGGCTGCGACCGGTGCCAGGCAAGGGCCGTCGCGCAGAAGTGCCGGCGCGGGCCCCCGTGAGTCCACCGAAAGCGGGGTCGGGGGGCAGTTTTTCTGAACGAAGGCGTCCATCTGGGGCTGAGAAGCCGTGATCCGATTTTTCAGTTTTGGAGCCGAGCTTGCGGTTTTGGTCGAAAAAAACACATGGTTTTGGTGTTGGATTTTTTCCGAGCTTGGGAGGTTTTTTAGGATGTTGGACGGATTTTTTTTTGGTGGGATGCTTGCGGATAGGTGATATCGCTCGTGAGGGGCCCAGATCGGGAGAGGATCACTCTTCATTTGTCCGTGGGGTTTCCTTTTGGTTTCCCTGTAAATACCGACCAAGAGGGGTTCACCATTTTGAGAAACTCCCATACTCGTCCGCCAAATTGATATTCTCCAATCTAACGTAGCTTTCACAAGCCCCAAACCACTAGCAGTGTCTTAACGGGGCAGAAGCCCTTTGTATAGTGGATATGCAGTGGTTGCATGACCTATTCAACTAGCTTCGGTTTGGGGGTAGTGGAAGCTACCTCACATCCGAAGAACATGGCACCCGGGCGAAGGGCGGAACCGACGATATTTTTGAGGTGATGACTTGACTTGGGGTTAAGCCTTGCAACCTTACATTGGTTTTGTTTGGTTTCCCTTGGATTCGTTTGGTTTCCTTTGACGTCCTTTGGTTTTCCCTTCTTAGACCAACGTTCCCGGTCTTCGGAGCTGAGGTGCCTGCCGTGCTTGCATCAGAGAGGCCACATCCGCGACGCAACCGAAAACCACGTGGCTGCGTCATCTTTTTCTGAGTTGATACCCCGTTTTGGTGTGGTTTTACACGGGGTTCCTGAAAAAGGGCATACCAATGTAGGAACAGCTGGCAAGTTGTTGAACTGTCTTTTGGGGTGTCCGACCGTGAAGGAACACCAGGTGTTCTACTACGCCCGTTTGCTAGACAACTTTCGCGTAGCCCCGGCGTAGCTCCCCGGCGTAGCCACTTGTCAACGAGTGTGTTCCGCATAGCCCCCGCGTAGCCAATTTTTTTTGGGGAAAGGCAACCGTGTAGCCTCCGCGTAGGTATCTGCTTCCAGTGTATAGGCCCCACACATTTTTTTTTCAAAGAAAACGGCTCACCTGGAAGGAAGCTGAGCTTTGTGAAGAGAAGAGGTCCCGGAACATGAACAGCGCAGCTTTGACACATTGGTTCCACTTTTTGACTACCCCAGGGTATACTAAAACCCGTGGGTCATGGCCCCCAAAAGGGGAACCCCTGGGTTTGAATCTATCTTGGGGTAGTCCCCTGCGACACATGACTTCATGCATGAAGCGATCAAAGCCTCCAAAGAGCGGCTGGTTCATTTGGGAGTTGTTTCAATGATGTCGCCACTTCAATCCATGTGGAACAAGTTGATACAATGCCGATCTGGTGAACACCTGGCGAAACGCGATTTGCTTCCACTTGGCCAAAGCCGCTTTTGCGGCTTTTGACCCCTACAATCCGAGCTCCACCGTAAAACCACCCCTGATGCAATTTTTGCTACCCCAAGCCAACCCTAATCCTGTCCCAAAACCCATTCAAGTGAGTGCTTGCTTTGCGAATCGTGCAGTCTGGGGCAGCTTGCTGACAATAGTTCGACTCTTTCTTCGAGGGTTCAAACAATTGTTTACAGAACCGTTCGAAAAACACACACAAAAAAAAAAACAAACCACACGCACCCCCAAACCAGGGCCTGGCCCCAAAAGGATTCTTCTAAGTACGTCTGTCACTGACGGATTTTTTTCTCTGTTAGTCCTCTTGGGGAACAACAAGCGACATTGTGCGGGCCTCACTTGCTTTTCGTGTTACGTGCCCCAACTTCCATTGTATGCCCTCTCGTGTAGCTGATATGTAGGTTAGAATCCCCACTATGGGTTTGCTCTTTTTTAGGATACCCCGTCTTATGGTTTTAAATGAAAACCACCGGGACAAACGAGAAAAAAAACCGAGCCGGCCATGTGCCGCTCATTTGCCCCGCTGCTTCGGTCAGGCGCACCTATAGCAGCAAGGTGCAGTACGGCACCCCCTGATCGGACAAGAATCTCGCTGGCGGCCCGGGGCCGAGTGGCGTTTTTTTTTTTTTTTAAGGTCAACAAGCACTTGTCGATAGTCAGGAAGCCCTTGATTGGATGGTTCTTGTAGAGGGTAAATGGGAGACCACCCACTGCATGAATTCAGTTTGTTTGGCCGTGGGGGGGAGCTCGGGGCGGGGGAGCTCGGCTCAATTCGGAGGCAGCCTGGAAATCCCTTTTGGTTTGCTTACGGGGTCTTAGGGTCCTCTTTGCTCCCAGTGGGTGAACCTTCGAAGACGCCGATCGGGTGGAATGAGGATCGGGTCGAGTGAGGATCAGGAGTCAACGGCTTTCAAACCAAGGGAAGATGGAAGCTCAATCTCAGCATCTTTGTCAAACATACCCTGTTTCCAATGGCGGCAGACCAGTGGGCTTCCCCAAAAGGCAAGCAACTCGTCTTCCAAGACCCTGTCACCTTCCAGAGGGCTGGGACGACCCAGAGGCAACATAATTTGATTGTCAGTTTCTGAGCAGGCCCTCAAACGAGTCCTGCAGGCTGCTGAGGGTTATCTTTTGTGCGAAATTCAATCGGAGGAAACCCGTCAGAAGGTCCGCTGCCTGAAATGTCTCAGGGCCGTTCCAAGCTGCGCAAGCGCAGTATATTCTGAAATTCATATTGCCAGTACTAAATTTAGTATTCCCAGTACTGAATCTAGTGTTGCCAGTATTAAATTTATCATTGCTGAACTTGATTTAGTATTGCCTATGTTTAGTATTGCCAGTACTACATTTAGTATTGAGCTACATTTAGTATTTCCAGCACTAAATTCGGCACTGCCAGCACTGAGTTTAGTATTGCCCAACACTTTGTATTCCCAGTCCTATTTTTTTGCATTGCCATCGGGGCGGGTCTCACCTTAGCAAGAAACACAACCAAAGAGAGCTCTGCGGAGAGGCCCAGGGCCAGCGGAAGAAGTGATTGAGCCTCACTGCTCACAGATTCCAATGCCTGCTTGCGTGCTCCCAAAATCTAGCCGCTTTTTCAAATATGGGGGGGGTTTTGGGGGTTTGGGGGGTTTAGGTGCATCGTGGGATTCTTGGCGTTGCCTGGTTTGCTTTTCACAAAAGTGCTGAATTTAGCATTGCCAGTACTCAATTCGTATTGCCAGCGGATTCTTTGGGGTGTCCATCCGTTTCTTTTTCTTTGCATGGTGCATTGTTCGCCAAAACGTGGCGAGCCTCAAGTTGCAGCAACCCCACGCCTGCACGGCCCCAAGTGAGTGTCTAGTTTTGCTTCAATTGTCAGGTAGTAGTTTGGGCGGTTTGAATTTGGACTTGAACCCTTCTTGTAGAGGGACCGGACATCACACCTCCACACCTCCACCAATCCAGACCACCAATAAGAGGCAAGCCGATAACAAATGAGCCTCAATCAAAACCCGGGTAGATGAAGGTTGGTAAGGGACAATCCCAGCCATAAATAGGTGCGGCCGCCTTTTCATGGTTCTGGGTTCACCATTTTTGTAAAAGGTTCTGATTATGACTCAAATTTAGACGAGAGGTCCCGAGTTTGCGACTGCTGTGTGACACACAGTGCGAGCCGTTTCCGACTTGCATTCCAAAAGGCCGGTCCAGTGGCCATGTAATTGCCATACCTCCCTCATCCCATTGGTTTAGTTTCTGAGTGCTTGTTTGATAATTTCCGTCCAGGACAGTTGCTGTCATTTTTAGCATGTCTGTCTTTTGTTGGGTTCTTGTTGGAATCTTGCATATACATAGTTTTTTTTTTTTTTTTTTTTTTTTTTTTAAAAAAAAAAAAAAAAATAAATTTCAATCCCGGACAGTGTTGCTGACATTTTGGAATTTGTGTTGATTGCAATTCTCAATGTTTTTTGGCGAAATTGGATTTTGCTGAGGGCTTTTCGAAATTTTCATCCTGGACATAGTTGCTGTCATTTGTGTGTGTGTGTGTGTGTGCGTGTGTGTGTCTGTGCGTGTGTGTGTGTGTGTGTGTGTGTTGTTTGGAGCTCTCTTTTTCGTTTTTTTAGATTTTCCACCAAACGGGGATTGTCCTCTACTGACCTTGATCTGGGCTGGAGCTTGTGCTTACTTTGTTTGGGATTGTTTGATTATAGTTTTTGTTTACTGGTTGAACTGCCAGTACTGAGTTTAGTATTGCCAGGTGTAGGTTTGGTATTGCCAAACAATTGGCATCGCCAGTACGTAAAATAGTCCTGCCATTTTTCAGTTTCGTATTGCCAATACCAATCTGGTTTTGCACCTCAGCCTTGAGTTGCCAGTTTTTCAGGTGCTGCCGGTACTAAATTCTCGGTTGCTTTCTGCTCCCCTGCTAAAAGTTTACCCTTTAGTGGTTTAATACGGAAAACCCACTAGGTGGCAAGAAGTTAAAGTCCCAACATCCAAGAAACATGCACCAAAGTTAAATTTCGTTTTGCTCTGTGTTCTATGAGGCAAACAGTCTGCTGCCCTGTTCTAACTCGTCCCTGGGGTTAGTTCAGCTGGCCTCAAAGCTGGCCCAACTTGGCAGCTTCCTTCCAGCCCCAAATCTACGAAGCAACCTGCCACACCAAAAGGAGGCGCTGATGTTTTTGACTTTCGAAGTGCGGCCCCTTTGTTTTTGGATGCTCTTAGTGTGGCCCTTTTCTACTTACATGCTGAACTACCAGATGCTCTAAGTTTGTTTGGGATAAACCGTCACTACAGACGTTTGCCAACACACGGCACCCTTGTACATTCCCACCCGGTGAGATCCACCCCGTTCCAACGCAAGATACTGAGAGAGTGAGCTTGGGTTCTTTGAATTCGGGCCTCCCAAGTTGGGCAAGCCGAGGCCGCTACATCAAGGACTTGGGAGTGCTGGTGTCACATCGAACTGTGCCTGGCACTCGCAGTTTCCGGCAACGCCGATGTGACAACTGCAAGTCGCCACTGGGGTAGACTTTTTACAAAGTGAAGCAAACAATAAACATATACATTCCATAACTGGGCCTAACTCTAATCATGGCCACAAGACGCCAAGAAATTTCGTGCTTTTCTTTTGTGCCAGCAGATTGGCCAATAGAGTCGAGTGCCGGGCGAGAGATTCTTCCGATCGTGGCAACTGCGGTCACAATAGGCGGATGGTTTGCCTTTCACACTGTCCCCCATGCCACATGGGTGACAGGCTGCCGGGTCTTCCTGAAGGAGCTTTCACAGAAAAGGTAAAAATGGCCGCCGCGGGGAGCAGCATGCTGGTTGCGAGGGTTTCTGCCCCCAGAATTACCCAGAATTATCCTGAAGAGTTCTTCTGGGTAGCCACCAGAAATCCTCGGTGGTTTGCGAGTGCCCGTGAAGAAGACTCATCGGGGCGGCGCTGTTCGGGCGGTTTGTGTGGAGCTACTGTGGATGGACGAAACCCTGCACCACCCTTGAAACCATGTGGAGCCACTGTTAGTTGGTATGTACAGGGGAATCATTCATCCAGGATTTCTTAAGTGGTGCGAAATGGATTTCGTCCATCCACAGTATCAGTCAAACTTGGTCGACCTTCCAGGCGGGCAGTGTCCCCAAAAGGAACTGGCCGAACCCCATTTTCTTCAACCACCCTGATGTGGGTGGCAGGTTTGGTTTAGGATGTGGAGCCCTGGACAACGGCTTCGGTTGTTTGCCTTTTGGTTTTCCTTTGAACATGAAACCACACACCAGGGTAGCCTCAAAATCACACACAGACACACACATTTCGTGTTCGGGACCGGTCCCTTTCCATGTGGTTGGAAGGCACTACCACCTCGCTCCGTGAGTTCATGGACTTTATACTTGTTCTGTGGTCAACAACAAGTCTTGGACAATTTCGGGTTATAAGAACTTTTCCTGGGGCGTCCCGATCCAACTGCTACGGTCCAACGCTGCTTGAGAAATACATGCAATTCCCCGGCGAAGAAACCATTGACGCCATCCTCTGTTTCTCCCCAGATACTTGATAGGCGTTTCTTGGTGCCTATGAGTAGTTTGCGTCGGCATGTCGGGGGGCGCAAACCCCAGTTGCACAGCGCCCAACCCCACGCCAAATAATTCAAAGTAAAGAACAACACAAGTCTAGTTCTACTTGGCGAAGGTTCTATTAAGGCCTTTATAACCCTTTATCGGTGTTCCTTTTTTGAGGCACCTACACTTTTTGGATGTGTTTTTTGTTGCGAAGCCGCAAAGGCGTTTCAAGGGTGGGCAGCTGATGTTTCCTGGTTCAAGAGGCTTAAGAAACACCCAAAAGGGGTGGTCAGGATTGATGTCTTTTCTTTCTGCTCTTTTTTCCATTTCTCTCTCTTTTTTTCTATCTCTCTCTCTCTCTCTCTCTGTTTGTTGACTCTTTTCAAGCAACGGCATGGTGTTTGTCGGGCCAGGGGTTGCTTGCCTACGCGAGCTATGCCCAGCAAAGCCCGGCACCCCAGATCCTGGGTCCTCTTTTTGCCATTTGAGGAGTGAACGGATATGTACACTCCCAAAGCTTAGGATGTACATGCCATTTAGGAATGAGGGGTCAAATCTTCCCAGTTTAACTTTGCCACTCTTTGCGTTTTTCAGGGTGGCCTTCTTCGGGTCGAAGAGCTAAGCCCTTCCCATCTTGTCGAGGTTGCCCCCCGCCAACTCTTGCGGGAAGTACGGGTTGGTTCCCACTTCTGCGATGACCGGTGGGCATTTCAACAAAAAAAAACAGGTGAATGATGGTCCACCAGTTCGGGTTCCCAATTGAAATTCATACTAACATGGAACCCATAGCAAGCAACATATTGCTCCCAGTGAATTGAGGCCCCACTTGCCAGACCCTTTGGCCTTTGGCCTTCGGTTCCAAATCTCAAAGCGGGCGTTTATGGGGCACCCTCGACTCCTGACCAATGTTTTGGCTGGCAAAAATGCTTCACCGGAATTTGTTTGAAGCGATTTCCAGGGAGTGTTTTGAGACTTGCTTGGGGACTCTCCGGGGAAATTTGAGATTTCCACGGCACAAGACTTTCTTTGAGGGTACTTTCTTTTTGCGGGTTTGCTTCAACGGATCCGAATCCATCTCCTGACCCTAGAATACAATGTGAAGGTCCACTAAAATTGTCACGCGTCTTGTTTGATTGGAAGCCAAAGAGGACCGGCCCTAACAACCCAGGTATCTTGTTGTGTTGTTTCAAAGGGAACGCGGAAACCAACAAAAGTTCAAGTGGTATCCCCAGACAGAACTTTCTGGAACCTCCTTTTGAACCCTGAAAGCCGCTCAAAACCAGAGCTTTTGGGCCTACCGAGCCCATAGCTTTTCGCTGGGGGGAAAGGTCAAATGGGCGTGGCTCAAAATTAAACAGGAGGGGTTACGCAGGTTTTGGTCCATGTTTCCACTTAGCAGGGCAACCCATTTTGTACCGGTGTTTTGAGCCACAGCCAAATTCCCCGCTTCCTCGAAACTCTCTCAGGCATGAAGGGCGTGGCCGAGAAAGCCGGTGGGGCCATTGGTGGGCACATGGGCTTTGCCATGCAGGCGGGCAATCCCGTTTTCTGGCCTGGCTCGGGCTGGCCAGAAGGGAAAATTCGTCTGAGGCATGTGTATTCTCCAAAAAGAACGAAGAAAATCCTGGGTTTCGGGTTGAACGTGGACCAAGTCGAGGTAGGAATCTCTTTGACCCAAACCCAGTGCTTTTTGTGTCTTGGTGTTGAGTGAGCCCGTATGAGTTTCTCATGGTATAGTGTCCAGTATTCAAAGTCATATTTTTGAACACATTTCAGTAGACTTGAGTCAGAGTCAAACATATGAGTGTGTGGTGATTTGAGGTTCGGTAATCTGTTCACGTTGGTTTAAAGGAACACCAGAAGAGCAAACACAACTTTTGGGTGACACACACACACCCATACCATTTTAGGGCAAAGGCTAAGATAAGCTCGGTGAATTCAAGTAGAGCCCTCCATTTTGAACATACCCTGCCATGAGTTGATTCCGGGAGGGGGCATTGGAGGCCTGGTTTAAGGGTTGGTGTAAAGGAAGGTTAGTCAAGGTTGGTGGCTTAAAGGTAGGTCGGATAAACCGCTTAAGGGATAGAACTACTGCCTGACAAGCTTCTGTTGGTGGTATGTTTGTTATTCTTACCTCCGAAGCCCGTTCCATAGGGATTCCCGAGGGCGGCAACAAGTCGCAAACCGGTTCCGGGGTATTGGTCGTGAATCGGTGACTTTATATAGCAGCTCGTTGGGTTTAAAGGAACCACATGGTCACGGTAAATGTGTCTCATTTTTTGGTGGCAACGATTTCATGCCACTGGAGGATAATAAGGGCTCTCTCTTTCTCCCCACACAGTTACTGTCAACTTTGGACTTTAAGGAGGGTACTGATCCTCACTGCCTGGGTCTCTACACTTCAGGCACGTTTTGGGTTTCGATCATTGGGGCAAACCAACGGCTTGGGGGATTTTTTTATTTTTCCCGGCCAACCCCAGGAAGTGAATCAGAGAATCGAAATGGTTGCCTCTCCTTCGGGTGGCCTGGCACGACCTCCCCATGGGTGGCTGGTCATTCTTGGGGTAGCCCCTGTTTGGGGTTGGTTCTTGAAGGGAAACGAAACGGGAGACCTTCTTTTTTTTGTGGGATCGTCCCCTATTTCGGGAGAACACAAATTGGTGTTCTCCTCTTTATGGAGATAAAGGGAGTGCCATTGACGTCACTGGTTTTTGGTTCATCATCGCTCTGAAGGGAACCAGCCACTGGTGCCAGCGTCCCCTGTCAAGTCTAAGCTGGCCTGCTTGCTGGCCAGCTGCTTCGACGCACAGCTTTCAGCATGTTCACCCATATCTTTTGCCCCGGGCTTGCCAGATTTTTCGCGCCCACCTGTTTGTGCCAATGTCAGGCGGCCACCATCAGTACGCAAGCGCCCGGTTCTCAGCAGTGGGGCTTTGACCCTGAGGCCACCCGGTTCCCTTTCAAGAGCTGCCCCGAAGCGCGGACCGCCGCGAAAAGATGGGGGTGGGGGAGGTCAGGTTTTGCTGACCCGAGCTTATTGCAACAGGATTCAGATGTCTTGGACACAGGCCCGTTTTTTTTTTTTGCATTTCCATCGCCATTTGGGTGTGGGTCAAAAGTAGGTGGCCAAAATAGAAACCTGGTAAAACTCAAACAAGGACCAAAACCTGCGATCCATATCCTGGTGGTTTGATTTTTCAACTGGACACGATTCTTGGGTTAAAGGGTGCGTTCCAGGAGAAACAAACACCCATTTGGCGGAAGTGCTCTTAGGGTTATACTCTACATCGCCGTGCCCGTGAGGAAAACTGGTGTATCACAAGAGTGGGCTGGAGGTTTAATGCAGAGAGATGGGTGCACCCCGATTTTGCCTGGTTCGGGAGAAGACTTTGAAACATGGTGTGTGTGTGTGTGTTTTACCCCAAGAAACAATGGCTGGTTTCCTAGGTTTCCCCATAAAACACCAACCAAAAGAGGGTTCCGAACCCCACACAAAGACGAGGCATGCGTGTATCTCCGAAGAAATCTAGAGGTCCCACACCCGACCACGCGAGGTCGCGTGGCCATAGATGATTTCCGATAGGGCACGTCCCCCCCAACCGTTGGCTGAATCACACCTCATCGATTTGGCAAAGAATTCGGAGAACATCAAGCCTTGCGGGTGAGCAGCTTTTCTCTTTTTTTGCTTCCCCTTCGTTTCCCAGCGGATTCTCCTTTTGGTTCCTTTGGGTTTCCCTTAGGTTTCCCTTGGTTGGTCTGTCTCCTGTTCCCCTAAGTTTCCCTGGGATCTGTTTTCTTGGACTTGCAGGCCCGAAGTGGCGCCGACTTCCGTCCGTGTGCTGTTGGTTTCCCTAAGCCACAAAAGAAAGGCGCCCCTCCAAAAAAGGCTCTCATTTCAGTTTTTTTTCTTCATGTGGAATGATAGGTTCAAACCAAATAGTAATTAGGTTAGGTGGTTTAGTACTATTTTC